CTAATGGACATTGTCTGATTGGTTACCACTACCTGTCAGACTACGTGTGTCATGCATGCCGAATCTCCGAACTACTTAGTAAGACCATGGGAATGGTATTGCCTGTAATGGCTACATCTCCGGTGGTGTGGTATCTATCTACCTCATGTATGTGAACTAATATCCCCTTAAGGACATATCTCCGGTGGCGTGTGCCTCCTTCATGGGATTCTTCCGGAGTCCGACCGTTGCTTCTAGGTGGGATGATATTACTGTATAAGTTAGGCTTACCTAATACTAGCACTTCTTGTCACATGTGTGGATATCACGTGATATGTCACGTGACTAGATCTGAACTTTCGGGGTGCCTAGGACTGTCAGTACTTCGCGTACCGGTTCGTTCCTTTCTGAACAGCCTAGCGCTGGTGTTATGTGATGTTCTAGTCACGTGCAGGTTAAAAGACGTGAAAATCTGTGACAGTACCCCCCCTTCTAGACAGTTCGTCCTGAATCTGGCTTTTTGCGTGGTTTCTGGAAGTAATTATTGCCTGTTGAACCAAATCCACGGTGTCCTCAGGCTGAGGGTTTGAGGTAATCAACCAGTGAAACGACAGGGGTGATAATACGTTCAATGATAAGTTGAGCGACTCGATCACCCAAATTAACTGTGAAGTCATTATTTGTATTATTGATTAGCAAAATCTTGATTTCGCCTGTGTATCCTCTGTCGATTACACCAGCTCCTATGTCGATTCCTTTGACAGCTAACCCACTTCGTGGCGCAATTCGACCATAGGTCCCTCGAGGTGTGGTAAAGTGAAGTCCTGTGGATACCAATCCTCTTGAGTGTGCTCGGATGGTTGTTGGTTCTGATGCGGCTAAATCCATTCCAGCATCGTCTTTATGGGCATATTTCGGTGCTCGTGCATTTGGATTATCTAATGTAATTTGAAGATCTCTAGAATGATCCCAATCATCTCTATCCTGATCGTATATCTGAATGGTATCAGTGGCGGGGTCATAGACTTGACCTGTTCTCCTGGGTGGAAAAGCGCCATCGACCGGAGTTGTATCAATGAGAGATATTGGTTGAGGTGCGTCAGGATATTTTCTGTGAAAGTCCTTGATGAGACGCGGAGATTTCTTCAAATTTGCAGCGGGTTTCAAGTTTCTTCGGTTTTGGAATAACCCTTCCAATGCACCAAATATTGAAGTTTTCCACGAATGACATGAGAGTCGACTATATACTCGACTTCTCATTCTTCGCCAGTCTTCTTTTTGATAGAAGGACGGAGTCTGAGTGTGCGGCCTGGTATTTCGTCTTCATGGTAGAGCGCGAGCTTGGACGCATGAAAAACTGGATGAACACCATATTGTCGCGGCATTTTGAGTCTGTATGTGACTGGTCCTAGTTTTTCTACAATTTCGAAGGGTTCATCTCTCCATTGTGCCAGTTTGGCTCCCAATGTCTGCCAATCTTTAGTGGAGAGTAATACTTGATCTCCAACTTTGAAAGGTGCGAGTCGTACAGATTGATCGTAGTACCACTTCATGCGTTCAGCTGCCAGTAAAATGGCTGCTTTTGCTTGCTCTTGCGCTTCTACTCACGCCTGCATTATGGAATCTAGCGTATAATGCTTTATGGGGTCCATTATTGTTGGTTCTGCACGTGGATGTCTACCGTATTCAACAAAGAATGGTGAATTCTTAGTGGCTTCAGAAGCCTTATTATTATAGGTGAACTCGGCAGTTAGGAGTAGTGTACTCCAGTCTTCCACGTGTCTGTCAGTATAGATACAGAGATATTGCTCCAGCGATTGATTTGTTCTTTCAGTTTGACCATCATTCCTTATTATCTGCTTTTGGCACATAGACTTTGCCTCAGTATAGTAATATCCCACTTTCGAAGTTCCAGTCTTCGAGTCCTTTTGAGAACTCTCATTGTCCTTTCTTGAGTAGATCTTGATATGAGTTGTTCACATTGTTGTCTTGTAGTGATTCCTTGATCTTGTCCACCAAATCATGATCTGTGACAACTGCAAGATGGGTATGTTGAATAGCTTTAATCGCAAAATATTCCGGTTTGAGCAGGGTCTTGTCAGAATTGTCGAGATTTACCCCCTCTTCATGATCTGGCCTCCTGGACAGAGGATCTGCACGATGCATTGATTTCCCTGGTTTGTGATGTAGTTGGATGTTGAACCGTGTAAGATATAGTGACCATTGAGCTTGCCGCCTCATCAGCTTTTGTGCTGATTTGAAATAGATTAAATTCTGGTGATCGGACCAAATTTCTACCGGGAGCGGATGACCTTCGAGATGTTGTCGGTATTCTTTCAATGCTCGAATAATTGCGAGCATCTCTTTGTCATAGATTTCATAGTTCCGCTCAGCCCCATTGAGGCTTTTTGAATAGAATGTGATTGGATGCCACAACCCATCGTCTTTGAGTTGTTTAAGGCATGCGCCAGTGGCAAAATCGCTGGAATCCGTTTTTAACCGGAATGGATGAGTATCATCCGGTAATGCCAGAATTGGAGCTGAAGTAAAGGCATGTTTGAGAGTGTTAAATGCCTGTTGTTGTTCTTCACCCCATACCCATTTCTGATCCTTTCGTGTAAGGATATTGAGTGGTCGAGACTTTTTGGCAAATCCTTCAATGAATCGACGATAAAAATTAGCGAACCCAAGAAAGGCTTGTACTTGCTTAACCTTTTTGGGTTCAGGCCAGTCGAGTACACCGGCGACCTTTTGAGGATCCATACGGACCTCGCCTTTAGAGATAATCATCCCTAAGTACTCAATCGAAGGTTGTTCGAAAAAGCACTTTTCTGGTTTGGCGAAAAGGTCGTTGTCCCGTAATCTTTTAATCACCTCTTTGGTAATCTTCCGATGTTGTTTCAGATCGTTGGTGAAGATTAGAATATCATTGAGGTAGACGATCACATGGCCTTCCCGAATAAGATCATCTAAAATCTCATTCATCATGTGCTGGAAGGTGGCTGGTGCGTTACCGAAACCGAAAAACATAACTGTGGCCTCATATAAACCGCGATGCGTCACAAAAGCTGTTTTCCATTCGTCACCCTTGCGAATGCGAACATTGTTGTATCCCCATCTGAGATCCAGCTTGGTGAATATTGATGCGTTACTGAGCTGATCAATAAGCTCGCTTATTCGTGGAATAGGGAAGCGATTCTTCTTGGTTATAGCGTTAAGTTTTCAGTAATCTTGTACCAGTCTTAGTGTGCCATCCTTCTTTTTGACAAAGAATACTGGGGCAGCAATAGGTGATTTCGACTTTCGAATGTAGCCTTTTGCTAGGTTTTCGTCGATCCATGAATCTAGGGAATTTCTTTCCTCCGGATTCATAGGATAGAGTTTGCTTGGTCATGGTAATTCATGTTCTTCTTCAAACTCGATTGCATGATCATAAGGCTTTCGAGTTGGCATCCTTTCAGATGCTTTCTTGGAGAAGACATCACCAAATGAATGTAGATAATCTGGTACTAATTTTTCCCAAGATTCTACTTCATCAATAACCTGATCTTCTGGGCTACCAGTGTTTGACTGGGGTGCCGCTTCTTCCAGGTCTTCTTCTGGTTCAGCATAGCTGCAATCTGCTATGGAAAGTATCATGCGAGCTATTTGTTCAGCTTCAGGATCGTCCATTTCGACCCACGAGATTATAGGATTTACTGCATCAATGTTGTGTCCATTAAACATTCTGAATGCAGTTGGCTCCTCATCTGCCACTTGTTGTGCTCGTTGCGAGATTTCTTCAGCTTCCTCTCTCACAATGGCTTGTTGTTTTTTACGAAGCCTCTGGTGGTGACACGTACTCGGGCATCGTGAGTATTTTCATTCTCCAGCTTGCCAGTTGATTTCTGGATTGTGCTGATGTAAGTATGACATCCCAATGATCATGTCTAATTTCCCTATGTCCGTGACTAGCAGACGGTGGGTGGAACCATGATCTCCAACTTTGATGTATGCTTTTACATAGTCAGTTATTTCACCATGTTTGTTTTGGGATCTGTCAGCATTGTACACCTTGTACGTCGTATTGAGCTTGGAGGTTGCGATTCGATTGTTCTTTATGAATCGCTTGCTGATGTACATGGAATACGCTCCTGAGTCAACTAAAGCTTCGGCGCTCGATTTTTTGCCGTACACCCATAATGTAACTGGTAAATAGAATGATGATAAATTTGGAGACGAATTCTTTATAGTTACATTATCCTCCTCTGCGTTGCGACGATCTACAGAGGTGTCTGATCTGGGTGCTAAATGTACAGGTCTTATATAATGTTCTGGGGACTCTGACGAGCTGCCTACAGATCCCCTTTGAGAAAACCCTTCTGATCCCTTCGTGAAGAGCCCTCTCCTGCCTTCCTTGATGAACTGGATCCATTTGCCCTCAGGCGCCTGAGCCTTGAGAGGATCATGGCAAAATCTTCTTCTGAATTCGACTCGGATGCATCAGGCTCACTTTCCGAGTGATTGCTGCAGTCGCTAATATACGCAGCTGTCTCCTTACTCTTCCCCTTAGTCTTAGAGGAAGAGCTTTTCTTCTTCGGCTTCTTTTCTTCTTCAGTGTCAGAGCTTTCGCTCTCTGCATCTAATGAAGCGGAATCAGATACCACCTGTCACGTCTTGGATGACTTTGACTTCTTCTTGTCGTCGTCCTTTTTCTTTGCGTCCTTCTTCCTCGTGGCTGTCTCTTTCTCCTTCTCGATCTGCCTCTTGACATGGTCCAATTTGAAACAATCGGTGCAATATTTGCCGAAGCATTTCGACGATTTGAAGAATGTGGGCTTGTTCTTCTTGCAGTTGGCACAAACCAACTTGTCATCTTGTACACTTCGCGCTTTGCCCGATTTACTCTTCTCTTTCTTCCTGACTGCGTCAACTTCCATAGCATTCAGGTCCTTGGTTTCAGCCTTGGCATGGTGACCTTCTCGTTGTAGTGACGTAAATATTCAGAGTGCGAAGGTAAGGAACTCAGTCCACTTTTTGGGCCAGTTGTCCTTGGTTGTGTCTGCTAGCATGAGCAGCCACGTTTTCTCCAGAATATGTTTCTTGATCTTTTCGATCAAGTCTTGATCCGAGAAGCCTGTACCGGTTGCCTTTGGACGGAAGTCTTCTGCGAACTTTCGGAAGTCTCGATGATCCTTCTTGACGAAGGCTTCTAACTCCGTTCGCTTCTTGTCATCCTTGTCCAACGATTCATATGCCGTGCAAAGTTCAGCGATGAACTCCGCCCAAGTTCCTGGTGCCTTGTTGTTTTCGTTTATCTCAGTAATCCAATGTCGCATATATTCGCGTGCTCCTCCTTTCAGAAGCAAGAGGGTAGACATAATTTTGAACTCGTCTTTGGTATGTCCAGTATATTTCAACCAGAGCATTACTTGTTCGAGCCAATCATCGAGATTGACTCCGTCCTTATTGCCACCATATTTTTCTGGCTGGTCAATTTTTACGCCTTTACCCTTGCGACCAAACGATGGCTCATCATCGTCATCTGTTTCTGTGACATCATTACCACCCTGGCCGGCCCTCCTTCCTTGTGTATTTGCCCATGTGCGTAATTGTTCATGTGATTTTTTGAGTGTGTCATAAGAGGCTTTTAGTTCTGCCTCGCGCTCGGTAAACGTCGTTACTTCTGGTGCCAGATTTTGCTGATAATCCTCGACAAGCTCTTTCACTTCTGTGGTAAGAGCGGCAACTGTCTTCTCCAAATCTGCTACTTGGCTGATGAGTTGCTGTCTGTGATTGTCAAGAAACACCGTGCGATTGTGGAACTCCGTGGTATTCTATTCAAGTGTACTTGCTTGACGCTGAATGAGATTTTCATAATGCACCACCATTTGTTGACGCATTTCTTCTACCACGTTCATGACCAAGTCGACTACCCAATTCTTCACATTTTCAGGTATATTCACATTGGGAGGAGCCGTGTCTGTGAGGGCTTGACGAATGATAGGATTCGGGGGTTGCAATACAATATTAAGTCATGCGGGAAGCTCCGGAGATGGAGCATGAGAGAAGCTGGGATCATGTGCAGTGGGGGTCGCCATCTTACAGTTCTTCCTCTATTTCACGAAGATGTTCTTCAAACTCGACAATATGTCTATTTGTGATCGTGGCCGATCGGGCAATTACTTGTCCTGAGCGCTGGTTTCGCAGCAAATAAAGGTCTTGGTATATGACCTTGATGAAGGGTTGCCACAAAAACCTAGTTTTGTCCCTGACTGCGGGCCACTGATGATTATGATGAATTTCACAAATATGCTCGACTTCTTCGAGCCACTCGACGAAGCTATTGTAAGCTTCGGTGAGACCTAGGTCCAGTTCTTCGGTTCCAAAGGGGATATAGCAGATGTGTACCATGACGTTTCTCCAGTCGTATTCTTGGTATAACTGAAGAGCAGAAATATGGTATACGTCGTGATAGTCGATGTGAAACGTATCCTCGTATGTAGCGAATGCTTCATCTGCTCTGTCTCAGAGAACTCGTGGAATTGAATCCCAAAGATAGTCGAAGGTGTGACCGATTGGATTGAGGTGCTCAAAGTTTTCAAGATCATTTGAATCGCCAGATGAAGACATATACAAAATGAATATTCGTATCTACAGCAAAGGTCACCCGGTTACCTGTATTCCTAGTCGATACTTCACGATAATATCTTATATAATATCGCGAGCTACTTCTCCCTGACGCTTCCTTTCTTGTACGTAGTCACAAAAATCTCGTACTACATGCTGATGTACGAAGGAAAGCTTGAATTCTGCTACATCATTGTGGAGATTCTTGAGCTTGATGATAAGATGCTCGAGGACGAGGATGTCGTGGTCGTCAAGCTGACGACGGTATCGTTTGGTGAGGAATAGATGAACTTGTCGAAGAGTACCTTCGACGCGCTGAGTAGAAACGATGAAAATTGCAAGAGGATATATGTAGTGAGACCCTGTGGGAGTCTTGATGTATGTTGAATGAAGTTCGTTTGCTGTTCGAGGTGCCCAGTTGTGAGGCGGAATGCCTTAATAGTGCTGGGGACCTGAAGTTGATGACGATGCAGGAGTTCGCGGTGTGCAAACTGAAGGAGTTTGGATAATGGGAACTGAGACACTGCTTCGAGGTCGTTGACCTCCCGTGGATATATGACCGGGCCTTGGCTGAACGCTTGTACATCGCAGCTCGTAGAACTCTTCTGGAGTTCTTGCTCAAGGACGTCGGATAATGCCAAAGTCACTGCGCATAGTATTGGCGTGGCTTACGTGGGTAGAGTTGATGTCTGCCAGAGAGGCAGGTGAAGATATGACACCGCTAACATGCAGGTGGACGTGCGAAGACGCAACACTGCGATGAGTACGCTGGGCAGGCACTTGAGGCAGGTAAGATAAGCAGACTTATTCTTCTATCACAAACTTAGGATGCAGGGTGCTGACTAAGCCTATGACCTTATGATCAAACACTTACTGACTGTTGTCGAAGTAAGGATGGACACAAAAGATGATCAAGGTAAAGCAATGCCTTTGAAGTGGGCACTGGTGACACTGTATGAATAGGCATAGCAGAGATGAGAATAAGTCTGGGGGACTTATGCATCTCAGAGCTCTGGCTTATATACATGAGTGGAGGGACCCTTGATACCCTGATACCCCAGAACCGCTAGCTAATGGACATTGTCTGATTGGTTACCACTACCTGTCAGACTACGTGTGTCATGCATGCTGAATCTCCGAACTACTTAGTAAGACCATGGGAATGATACTGCCTGTAATGGCTACATCTCCGGTGGCATGGTATCTATCTACCTCGTGTATGTGAACTAATATCCCCTTAAGGACATATCTCCGGTGACGTGTGTCTCCTTCATGGGATTCTTCCGGAGTCTGACCGTTGCTTCTAGGTGGGATGATATTACTGTATAAGTTAGGCTTACCTAATATCAGCGCTTCTTGTCACATGTGTGGATATCACGTGATATGTCACGTGACTAGATCTGAACTTTCGGGGCACCTAGGACTGTCAGTACTTCGCGTACTGGTTCGTTCCTTTCTGAACAGCCTAGCGCTGTTGTTATGTGATGTTCTAGTCACGTGCAGGTTAAAAGACGTGAAAATCTGTGACAGAGGAGTTGTACCTTCTTTCATTTGTCCTGATCAATCCTCTCCCAGAATGCTCCTAATATCAGTTGTAGTCTGAAGCGGGTAGCCGAGACCTGCTTCTTGAGTGTTTCGATGTGGAGGGTGGGCCTGACTTTGGACGGAAGAGGGCGAATGGGTCGTGCATGTGTGTTGACTTTAACAAAGTTGGGAAGAGGTCGCACTGGCTGTGGAGCAACAATGATGGGGGGAACGGCGTTGGAGGTGATGATCTCTGGGGGTGGTCTTGGCCTTTGACTGCCTGTAGTGAGGCGTCCTTTTCTGGGCTTGTAGCATTCGAGTGGAGGGGTGTGACTGCGAGGTCGGTGGATGATGCCTTGGACTCTGATATGCATAGTGTCCACTACCCTAGCTGCTGCATGCTGCCTGTCTGTAGAGGATGCACCTAAGGATGCTAGAGTGAGAAGTCTTCCTCGCTCCTTGTTGGTCTCGAGGCATTTGTAGCTGGCGTAAGGATCTTCTGTCTTGGTGGCCTTGCACTTTGCTGCCTTGGGCTGCTCAGTGTCTTGCTGAGGCTCACATCTGGTAGAAGTTGGGTTGGAATGTATGTCAAAAAAGCCGCGTGCTACGGCTGAAACTGCTTGTGCTGAAAATACGCGGCCACTTGTGTTAAACACTAAGCATGGGCGCAAAAAATGTCAGATTGTTTCTAATGTCACAGCAACACCGAACAAGAGATCAAAAAGACTAAAAAAGGACAGTCACGTGGAACGTGTCGCCCTGATCTCCCTGATCCCAAATAATCCCCCTGAACTCTATGTGGCACAAGAGCCTGAAACTTACTAGTCGAGGTGGCTGACGCAGGAAAGGGTTAGAGATATATGGTGGAGCTGGTAAGCTCAGTAGGGTGCTACAGTAGTAGATGAGGAGAAACAATCTGAAGTTTCATCCTCTACATGGCTGGTCTTATATACATGTACAGCGGGCTATCTTACCTAAGCTACCTATCTACGGGTATAAGCTAATGGCTGTACGTGAAACAATAGGATGTCCAGAAGTAGAACAATGAGTGGGGAGATCGATGGTTGCCACAGTAATGCATGTGCACATCGTGCCTATCTTGGTCTCCCTTTATTCTCCGGTGTGAACATCGTGCCTATCTGGGCTTCTGGCTAAACTAATAGGAAGCGGAAGGCCGATGCATAACAACAGTCCTTGTTCCCTTTGTTCCCAAATGGGTGCCTCTATTGTATCCTGGAATAGACAGGTCCGACCGTATCATCCGCGGGTCTGGACCATAACATGTGATGTGGACTATCACCTGATCTCTACGTGTCACGTCTGTGGCTGAGTGGCATGAAATATTGGTGAAGCACATGATCCGTGGCGTGAGAAAAGTCAGTGTGTGGAGTTTGTGGCAAAAATCTGTGACAAGTAGGCGAGCACTAACAAGATGCAAAATTGGTAAAAATGTTTGCTGCGCAAATGAATGCTGCAGCGCACTGGTTGTAGGATTTTCCCTGATAAGATACTAATCACAAATTGATGTAAAAATAATTGCTTTCTCTAAAAAGGTACTTGTCAAACATATTACAAAACAATAATGGTTTCCCAATTAAGGTACTATCAAAAAAGGCAAGTCAGTCACGTGACTTGTGCGGGCGCTTGTCGAGTCGAGGTGTTGCAAGATGGATAGCGCAGTGGATATGGCGATAGTAGCGCTATAAGTTTGAGACAAGGCTATAGAGCAACGGGGCTCATAACCTGTTTAACTTATAGTTTGCTGGAGTAGAAGATGCCTTGTCAGGCTAGAGGACTTGGATTCATTCACGCTGTAGCTACTCAGTATATATACATGTGGGATGAGACCCTGTACACCGTTCGTGGACCTCTGGTACCTACAGTAACGTGATATTTACATAAATGAGTAATATCGTGCTAATACATTTAGCCCAGTGGCAACAGGTATTGTCCAATGGTATATTACTCTTTTGTCAATGTCCATATTGTATAATCCTGTCAGATTATACGATTGGTCCCTGTGAATGGAACACTCCTAGATGTCTCCAGAACCTTCGGTGAGTTTCTATGACATTCTATTCCCTGCACATAATTGTCACGTCACGTCGTACATGATCGATCGTGTAGATCATATCAGGATACAACCGTTCCTTCAACATGTCATTCCAGAGCGTCGTTAACATCGCACATGGGTGTATGGGTCACCCTGCTGTGGAGTCTCATCTGCACTCTATGAGCATCCTTGCACCTTGTAGTAACATTAAGATAGTCTCGTAATCAGATGGTATGGGAGGTGTTGTGCAGGGAAACAGGCCGGGAGATTCGGTAGCGCCACTACATCAGCAAAAAGTCCGACCACCGATCTGGGCCTGACTACGCCCAATGTACATTATCTGCTATTGACTACCCCACCTGCCAGGTGACCGACAGATAAGTCAGATTTGTAACCTCTTAGGGTCTGACTACCATCATCGGGCCAGGCCTACTGCCACCGGTCAGACAAAGATAGTCAATACCCCCATGTTGTCAGGTAATGTACAGATAGGCTGCCATCTGGCAGACAATATCTCAGCTGTCAGTTGATGTCTGGGCAATTCTGGGCAATGTGCCGCACCCTCAGATTAAAATTCAGCCGCTCAGATGAATCATTGCCCAGAAAGCCAAATGATTGACTAGCCAGGATATAGTAGTTGTTGATTGTGTAAATAGAAATTCATTTTAATATTACGACATGTACATGCGAAAGATGCCACACATGAATGGTATCAGCGTGGACTCACATAACTCTTCTACCTCTTCAACCTTCAAGATGTGGGCACACTCCAGACAGCCAAGGAGCATCCTTGACAGCACGCGAACGAGTCGATGTGAGCCCTGCAAAGTCACATCCATCAGCTCTCCTTTGGAACCACTTCCTTGGTCGTCTGGAGCACGCGCGCATCTTGAATGATCACTGCCCACTTCATCGTCCATGGACCTCTATGATGTGCAAACAAACAGATGTCAGCCATGCTGGACCACTCTATCCAGCACCTCCTTCTCTCAGCCATTCACGGACTTGACAGCGCACGAATGGAGCAGACATGAGCTGTCTCAAGTCATGCTCGGCCACTCTGCCCCTGCCCCTCTTGATGTGTTGTTGCACTTGCATGTACGCATCAAGAATGTCGAATGTCTGTTTTTGTACTGGCGGTGGAGTAAATTAAGGCTCAGGAGATCAAATCCTCACATAGACAGACATACCTCGTAATTGACCTTGTACACACAGAATCCAGAGTTCAGGTTGATGAGGTGGGTCACCGATGGGCAGATCTGATTGACGATCAGGGAGTCTGCAGCTTAAGGTTCCTGCAGATCCATGACATACCCATTCTGCTGCGATTCGTGCAGACTTATTGTGCAGTTGTCTCTGGGATTGACCCTTCCAGCTCCCACAAAGTGACAGGGAGATTGTAATCAGGATGCCTGCATGTCCCAGACGTCAAAAGAAGTATGCAGGAGTGGCTGGGCATGACTTTGAGAAGCTCACCGTTGCTTACTCGTTCGCGAGCTGTTGAGATCCGTGAACGAAAATGGACAGCACAACGATGCGATGCTGTGGGAAGGAAGAGGATGCGCAGGTGGTGGGTATATGCGCCTTTGTGTGGACGGTGACACACCAATAAAACCACTCACCTGTGTGTATGCATACCATGCATACCACCCTCAGACATCCTCATGTCCTCTATCCAGCCCGTCCAATGCCAATCGTGGGGGAGCTGGACCCAGCGAATGCTCGCCAGACAGAGATGGCTCTGTGTGGCCTATGCTCGCTCATCACCCTGTATCCATCCTCCATCAGCACCTTCCCGATAAAAACCACATATGCAATCATACGAAGTCATTTGCGGGTACATCGATGCTCGAGAGCGTCGCCAAGGTCAATGACCGGCAAGAGGTTCCTCAGTACGGCCAAACCGCTTCATGCCGCTCGCTAAGTCTTGGGCGACTTCCCTCCGGTGGCTTGCAGCTGCACTCCTTAAGTCACATTGTTCAGGGACAGGCACAGAGGGTGAGGAAACATGCTGTGATAAGAAAAATCAATGTGAGCAGATAGCGAGATGTTGATGAGAAGAAAGCACACGATGCAGTATAGAAGGTGCAGCACGTCTCTTTCCTCGTCCGTTCGCTTAGTAAGCAAGCACAAGCGTTCGACCCCTGTTCGACCTCCACGCTCAGCGTGCTCGACATTCGCTTCTTGCGCTGGGCTCGTCACCACTCGAAGTTCACTGTAAGAATCAGTATGTTAACGCACATAGTCTGCCTACAAGCTATTCCACAACTGAACCAAATCTCACTATGTTGACCCTTAACATCGCGGTTTAACGCTTGTCCAGATGGAACAATTACCGTTAACGATGGAAGAGCACAAAGAAAAGTAACCTGGGGCTGCAAATGATACGTTCATATAATGGACCATGTCGTCGGAGCTTGAATCTCTGAGCAGTGATGTCACTTGATGACTACCATCTATGGTAAGACACCTTCCTAATGTGTTTTGCACGTGATGCTAATTCAAGGCACTGCGACAATTTTTAGGAGACATGACGGGCCACGGCTGCATAATTGCATAAGTGACTATCTCACACAATGAAACTTATGGTGCACGCTTTTTGCTGATTGGTGAGGATGATGCTGACATACCCTTTGCCATGTTACATCTCTTCCATGTTATGTTACAATACATTATACCATCTACTTTACAATATATTATATTTCAGTCTGTCCATTAGTATCAAGGCCTCCCACACTGTAGCATTGGATATCAGATATATGGTGCATATGCCTCAGACAGCCATCTGCACATCAATCCTACCTTGCAATATCTGCATATATCTATCACCGGCAGTCTGTTATGTGCCAGAAAACACATACCTGACTGGGAATGAGCAGGTCTGCCGCCACTGGTCCCTATGGAGTATTTTCTGCCAATATCTTTGAATGCCTGCTCTTGCAATATGGCAGGGGTACTGACTACCATTTCTGTCCAGATCGGTGATCGGACTTTTTGCTGATGTACAGCCACAGCGGAGTACAAATAGGAGACCCAACAAACTCTGCACAATTGTCACGCTGTGCAACCGTTTTTCACTCTCTGCCTCCACTCCGACGCTGCACGTACTACATTCTGCTATACGGTCTGGCAACGAGACTACATAGCATAAAGATTACCTTCAACTTTCTCTACATAAGATCTGGGGCCATGCCGTGCACTGGATAATAACTGATTATCGTAGAGGAAGCCGGATCGCTGCCAATTGCTCGGTTGACTGACGCCTCTCCAGTCATGAGCCGAAAGACTTGCGGGCAAGTTTCTGAGCAGTTCGAGCCTCCCAGACAAGTATGAAGGCAGTGAGGGCACCAGATATAATGATGGGCACAATGGTCCTCGCATGTCGCCAACCATCTGCCAACCCTGATGTGACTGCAAACACGAACAGGATGAGTGCAACTGCGACAATACGACTTCAGCTCGAACGTGCTGCGCAGACAGACATATGACTCACTGGTCAGCAAGGATGCCCGGTTCGTGTCCATTGTGTTGATCCCCTTCAGATAGGACGCCTTACTGTCATGTACAACTGTTGCGCCGGAAGCAGGACAAGTATAAGGGAGTTCCATGACGAAGCAGACGATGGTGATGAAGTGATATACACAGGGCCATGTACGTCACGAGGGCAGCACTTATGATCAGCGCAATTACTTGTACAGGATGAAGCTCAGCATCGATGCAGAAGGCACGCACCAGAACGCTCACCGTTCCCATGAACGCAACCAGCGCCTCGGACTGGACGCTGGGTACCGGGAACATCTGCATGACGATGTGCATCACAGACAGTGTATTCAGAGCCGCACCTGTCAGTGGTGGATGAGGCACTAGGAACACGGAACAGATCCATGTGGAACAGACTCACCCGTGCCCATGAATGCTCGTAGACGATGAGGGCGTCTCGGAACGTACCAAGTCCGCGCCCGAGGGAAGTGAAAGACATACACCAAGTACCGGAGATGAAAACGTATTCTGCATAGCATCGCATCAGCTAAAGAGCTTAATTGGAAGCGGACGGAACGCACTGGGATTATACAAGTCATTCAAGCGTCCACTCTGAAGAAAACAATACGCCGGAGGTTGCATACGGCATTTACGCTGAGTAAAAATGGCAAGGAAGATAAGCCGGTATGTGCTGATGATCCAGACAGAGACACTTTAGCGATGCCGGGGTCGATACAAATGGGCAGAATGGCCACGAAGAGAGCAAAGTTGTTGAGCGCGTCGATGATAGAGCAAAGCAAAAGACGATGAGGAGGACGATTCTACGGAAGGAGGAGAGTGTGCTCAGGTCTGAGCCCAGACGGGCCGACCGTGCAGAGTCTGTCAGTGGTGTGTCCGACATGGCTTAGGCGAACTCTGCCTGGTAGGGGGAGGTGCTAGGGCGAGACGGAGAGGGACTTGCGCTCTGGGACAGATCGGGAATTTTCCTGAGATGCATCATACAACCCATCCAGCTCGAAACCATGCGCACAGCATGCCGAACGAGCATGGATGGCTATCACAATGGAAGCAGAAGCTCGCTTTCAAATAAATATGATGACTCCGTTATTCAGAAGAGGAGCTGTACGAGGAGCTGTACGCATTTTGATCATCAGTCCGATGTCAACGGCATGTATGTCGTGCTCATCCACTTCCGACACAGCAAACGGATAATGTCTCAATGGCATGACTGCCATCGATATCAACTCTGCGAAAAAAGAGACCGAACACTTCTGACCGGTCAGATGTCTTGACGTGTATCCAGCCGAGCAGATACCCCGTTCATCACCATCCTGCAGTACTGATCAGACAGGAGAGACGTGCCTTGCTTCTTCCTTGTGACTCGTGATTCGTGAACTCATTAGCTAGATGCTTCCTGCACAAAATACAGACAACATGAACAGCTCCGAGCGGCATGTGCCAAAGCAGCGTATCTCCCACTGAAAAGCAAGTTCAAGTGTAGATGTGCTCGTGATCCCTCTCCAGACACTCGCCTGCTTGATGGGGAAGAAGGTCTGAAGTTCACAAGGTTGAGACATGGGAGAGACAGGGACTGCGGCGTTTCGTATCTGAGTCACCGGTCTATATTTACCTCAAAGCGCGTAACGTTTCCGGCCGGGCGCTCGCCACAAAAGGTACTATGAACGGACTGCGTGAACAGCCGGGCTCTAAAAATTGGTCAAAGCTCCGGGCATCTCACCTCAACGCCACTGTTCTCACGCATGTATCACTCTTCCATGATTGATTAGTCTTGTTGCGATACTTTACTTTGATCCGATCATGGTGAACAGCACACGAGGTATGTTAATATGACTTCGCATTTTCCCAAGTCTTGCATAGCTTCTGCCGAATACTTAAGTAAGGTAATAAGCTAAGCAACGGGGTTTCTACGTTCTAAAAGGGCGAGCCCTCCGGTGCAATTGCCGCACAGCAGTCCGCTTGCCAACATGACAGGACCGAATCTACATCTGAATAGCTCCATGGGCTGCCTTTTCATTGGCAATCTGTTTGCCATCATGTAGGCTGCAGTCGATTCTCTTATGGTGCCTCTCGTTGTAATCAACACCTCCAGACTATACGGCTTGACCTGCGCTCAAGTTTTGTACTATATTTGGGAGTACCCGACCGATAGTTGGAGGATCCGAGTGCTAGTACGTGACTATCAATTGATGCGACGGGTTCCTAAGTCAGTGCTATTTATCATTAGGTTGCTCTGCTATGGTACGTCTGGTGTGCTGCGGTGGAGGCAACGTTCTTCTGCGCCTCATGCCATTGATAGGATTTTCGACACGGCGATTACCATCGCGAATAGCCAAGTGAGCGAACATATATACTGACTGCAAATTATGTGCTCAACGTTGCCCGCAGATTATGTGGCACTACTTTATTCAAGGACATAGTAACTCCCTCAACCTTACTTCGCTTGCACTGTCCGTACTTTCCGATCTAAGCTGCCTGTAACGTCTAACAGACACACTGTAGCCCCTTCGAGGTCCGCAGTCGAAACCTTCACGCACTTACAACGCTAACCTCGTATCCATAGATTGAGTATGTATTTTCGGCAAGTAGCAACGCAGTTCGTTTTATGGCCTTCAAAAAATGTTATGATATGACAGGCCATCACTACCCTGGTAGTTCAATGGTGCGATTGCGGTTATCCGATTGCCATTATGAGTTGCTCTAACATTTGTGCATAGCTACTACATGCTTCAAATTTGGAGACGTGAGTTCTCGTACATTACGTCTCGTTCTCCTTCATACAATCTGCGCAGTGCTGCGAAAGAAATGGTACAACCTCCCTATGACAATCATAATTGTCAGTAGCTTTTCGGCCATCTGCACCGGCACGTCGTGTCAGACTGACAGCTCTGTAGGTCCTCACGGCTGTCGTATCTTGCGGTTGGTCAAAACGCCAGTCTCAGCGATATCCCCACTGACATTGGCACTCCCCAGCATGCGGACTATGTATGTGCGATGTTCATGACTCTTCATGCAACTAATCCGCGACCCAGGGCTTGCGTGCATCACGTGAGTAAGATTGGAGTCTGATAGTGACAAGCCATCGCTGATTGTGCCCCAGAATCCAGGTTCCTCAACTCCCGGCCGTTTTCATTCATGTAAAGGTCCGCGAGGATAGCCATCGTCTTGTTGAAATAGTCCGCTGATCTTGAAATAGATCCCCGCTACAGTGGAACCTGTGTTGGGATTAACCGCAGACATCTACATCACTGTCACGTTGATCTGGGCCTTGAATGGAGAAAGGACGGGCTTCAAGCAGTGGGTTGCAATGCATTCTGACTGCCCTAATTCTCATGCATACATCATTGCGATTGGTCTGCAGTACCAACACGCTGATTAATAGACTCATCATGTATGCGGTGAACCGCGGCATCATGACCGCGTACGTTGACTCCTACACCGTGTTCTCTACCTATCTGACCGCCATGCTGTTAGGCTCGTCCAATTTCTGCACTTAGTCACAGTGAGTGTTACATCGGTGTCCTGCAGGGTTTAACACATGCGCTCCCTTTCAGTTTGTAGCCTGCAGTGGTGACGTCTTTTACTGGGCACTGTTCCACTACCCAGGTACTAAACGTACGTAATTACACAGCAGCCCCCACCCCACCCCACCCCTTTCTATTACCAATACTGACATAGGGACGGATATAGTCTACATCAACTCTGCAATCGCTATGTGAGCCTGACATCGCCGTCCATCCTGACGATATCTCTTGACCCCAGACCCGGGCAGCAGACTCAACGCGCGTCACTACCTACGTTCCAATGGCAAATTTTACCTCTCGACTGGTCTGTATATGGAGGACATCCCGATGAATGTGCTGGACGGCTCAGAAGACGGGTCGCCAAAAAGACTATTTTCACGGTATGTACTGGCTTTGTTGTGACAAGCTCGGAATCGATGCCGACTCCCTGCGTTCCAGCCGCGCCGAGCCTCCGGAAGGTTCCTCGATGACTGTCATCGTCATCTCATCTGAAACAGTTCAACAGAACGGCGTATCTGGTGGTATCGGCGGCCCTGCTGAATCGACCAATAGGACAAGTTTCCCCGGTCGAGTGGATGAAGAGATGCTCGGCCGTTGAGCAACATTCACGGCATTCGTGCTTTTGAACAGGCATCAAAAGCATTTAGAGTACATATGATGAGAATCTTATGCAAAAAAATGCAGGCGACTGGTTCACAGAACGAGAGTCGTGTATGTCGCATTCAGGGATGTCGTACACGCCTCGGCTCAATGTTATTACTTTACTTGCGACATCAACGTCCACCGCAGGACGGACCAAATCACCTATTTCCTTCGCGCACCCGCCGAAATTTCCGGGAATTGGGATCTTTCAGCCGGCCCGCATTCGTGCATTTGACCTCAATCTGATGTTGCATTGATTACTTCGAAGATCAATGCTGAGAGCTTCTCTGAGCGAGGGCGTATGTCGCACTTGAATTCCGCAGGATAACTAGGGTTCTTCAGTCGATGCGTCGAGCTGCAAATACTGGCTTCGAACATACCTCGCGATTCCAGGAGCGAAACAGGCGACAGGGATGATCTCCTTTCCGTCAGCGCCGCGGGCTCTCCGAATATTCAGGGTAGCGACGATATTCGCGATCGCCATCCATGCATTGGCATCCGCAAAGTGGCGACCGGGACAAATCCTGAGGATAAGGAAGGATTCAGTTTTCAGCCACCTGCGGCATTCTAGCTGTGGCTTACCGTCTACCAAAACCAAAGACGGCCTTTCTTGGGTCCGTCAGGTCTGCAGTTTTGGAATCCATATCCGCAAAACGCTGTGGATTAAATGTATCTGGCTCTGGGTACAGATCCTCATCGCGCATCATTCCCCTTGGAGAAGTCATGTAGACGGTGAGTAGACAGGCAGATGCCACAAGGATAGTGTGAATTCTGACCATATGTTCGATATTACCATCGAGCCGCCGGGAAGGTCAAAGCCTCGATACTCGTCGTCGGCCATCAACCTATGCGTTATACCTACAATTTGGTTAATGGTAGCGGCAAGCAGCGGATCAATTAATGGACCTAGAGGAAGCGGCGGATTCCATCTTCAACGGTCAGAGTGGCATCAGCTGCGCGCATACTCTACTGGTGAGAGTCGTACCGGTACACCTCCTTGAGAACGCACTCAAGGAATGGAAGAGATGCGCGATCTTCGAGCTCCGGCAAGCGCTGATTGCCGACCACTTTGTCGATCTCGTCTTGTGCCTTTCGGTAAACTTCCGGATGCATGACCATTGCGAGCAGAAAGGTCGAAAGTGCAATAGCTGACTGTAGAACAACAACTCGAACGATGGAGCGACTAAACACTTCTACCAAGCTTACTGTATCAATGCCGGCTGCGAGCATGCATGTCAATAACAGATCACACGCAGCAGCTATCTGTGACGAACCTGCATACAAGACCGAGGCGGCTCCTTTGATATCTTCTTCGTAGTCTTCTGGCCACTGTGATCTGCCAGGGTCGTGGAGAAGAGATGCAACAAAGCATTGTCGGGAAGTTCCCACTGCCTTTATGCAGGTCAATGTTGGCTTCGATGCTATGACGTCAACAACTGACTAGTTCGCGTTTAACTTTCTGGAATGGTTCATTCGTGACCTTTCTCAGCAGCGTTTTGAGCCTCAGTGCCTTGCGCTTGAATCCAGCTCCGGGCATCCACGTCGGTATATATTTCACTGTAACAATTGTTGAGCGGTATGTCTTTTGTGTGACGCATGATATAAAGCATCTCACGTGGAGGGATCAGATCCACTAGAGTAGCTGCTATGACTCCGGTTGCGGTCGTTCCTTCGACGACCTCAATCATGTCATGCAACGCCTTGTCCTTTCGCGACCTCAGGCCATGTCCGTAAGCAGTCTCAAGGATCAGTGCACCGGTAAACCTAACACAAGGAGCACGTCATGCGATGACTGATGTGATGGAAGCATTACTCGAACCGCTTGAAATGCACCTTGGCCTCTTTAGGGTGTTCGCACAACTCCGACAAGAGAAAGCACGTCTCTCGCCGCTGCAGGACCCGGAAATCCGTGATGGTTTCAGGACTGTTATAGGCAGCTTGTATCCACTGCCTTTGCCGACGCCAGCGCTTGCCATAGGGTAGGAAAGCGGCAACGCGATCCCAGCCAATTCTTAGAAAGCTCAGCGGGGAAAAGAGGTCGTACTGAATAGAAATACTGACAGCTCGGTCATCAATGTAAATTTGGGCCGGTCTGAATACTTCGAACCTCTTCGATCGAGCAACTCCTTCGCCACAGGCAAAGAGTTCAGAACCAAGACCGAATAACCAAGGATTGGAGTGTATAAAATGTTTCCTGCAGTTCATTTAGGTGAATTTCACGCTGAGGCGGTAAAATGAAAGAAGGACCTACCGTACAACTTCGACCACTCATGGAACCTCTTGTACGGATAACCAGCTGGTATTTGGTGCGCGCTGCCTACGATGGGAATAGGATGAGGCCCGGGTGGCAGATGTCTAGTGGGCCGGCGGACTACCATATGGAAGGAGATCGTTAACATCAACAAAACAATCAGGCCGAGAGCGACGAGTTCAGTGACGTTGCGCATCGCAGGCTGAGTGTGATTGAATGACAAGACTATCAATAAGCCTGAGGTGACCCGGCAGCTGTGGTGCGAGCCTTTATAGCCCCGGCTCCCTAGCATCAATGCACGATGGTGAGTTTTCCTTCAAGGTACGACCGGATGTGCACGGAACTTACTCAGTGGCGAGCGAAATTTTCATCCACTGAATCGATGACTCCGATAGCTTATCTGAAACTAACACACTAGCAGGGAAGCCTTATATCAAGAAGATAGATGCAACAGTAACAATTGAGTCTCCGTCTAAGATTTCCGGCAAGAATGTGCGTCGCTCCAGACCGCTTGTTAATGGTACGATCGGAAGTTGGGAACTGCCCCATGGCATGCATTGTCGTACTAGACTGATTTCAGGCCTGCGTAAATACGAAGATGACAGTCCCTTGAACTCGGGATGGTCAAAGTCCCGACCTGTATGCTGTATGGAGTCGGAAGTTTTGCTTGAAGGATCATTGGCTTGCACTTGACGTTCCTCGATGAGCAGTTCCGAGCCGTTATCGGCTTCACACGTCTTTGTTCATTCCCATAGAAAGAAGACACTCGTGAGCAATTGTCAGCAGGTTTACGTGAGCATAACCGATAGTACGCCTTTTGAACGGCCTAGGTCGGAACAGACACATTATTGCGAGTCTCTGACTGTAATTGGTTCGCGCTGGCAATGTGGCTAAAATCACAGATGAGGCTATAATGGTTTTAGTAACACAGCCTGGGAAACCACACTATTCGGCGATCAATCCGAAGGCACGCACAAAATACGGCACATATGTAGTTCAAGGACAGTACTTTGAAATATGCTGAATGAAGACATCCGCGCACAAGAGTTAGAGTAGTCGGGATTTTCATTTGCTGAAGAAAATGTTATTCAAAGGCACATGAAGTAGTATAGTGCACATGGTTTACTTCTTTCGCTGCAGTTGACAACTCACCTAGCAGGTACAAACGACCGGATGGCCACAAATCCTGCTTTGGAGCGACGTTGGATATACAAAGCACCAGTGGACGAAATCGTCGGTAGTTGACCGGTCTTCCCTGCAGAATAATCAAAACGCTTGGAGTCTTTGAGGCCTCGGATGGGCTGCGGCGATTGGTCTGCCGCAATGGTCTGCCTTCCTCCATGTTGGAGAAGGGTAAGAGATTGCACGAGTAACGATGATACACACACGACGATAACGTGAGAGTTCAGAATCGCCCTCGTTTGGCTAGACGATGCTTCATAGCTTTGCATGGATCTAGAGCGGACATAAAGGATTTCTAATTCTCAAATCACGTTCGTCGTAACTCCCGCATCTGAAACGTGAAGGCTAGCCATAGCTCCGAACGTCGCGGTGTTCTCGCTGAGTCGGTGGGTAGCAGTCTCAAAACGTGTCGTCGTGGCAGGACGTAGAGCGCAAGAGCGGCTAAAACTTGCATGGTGACCGCTACGTGATGATCTGTGACAGACGCGCGTCCCCGTCAGACCGACTTTCGTTCCTCCAGTCACCGATGTCCGATTTGACTCTCGAAGTAGTGCTGTAGTACGAAGCTTCACAGCTTCACGGAACACAAAAATCCTCACGCTCAAGTGCTGCACGCTGAAAACCAATTTCTTTGACCAGAATCCTTGAACTGTGGACTTCTCCATCCCGCCTGGCGTATTCGTGAGGAAGTTACAACGTGCAAGTCAGAACTCTTCCCTGCGATGCTGTAAGATATGAATACGTACCAATTTCATGACCTTGCTGAGTCTGACCAAAAAACGCTTGCCCCCCCCCCTTTTGCAGTCTCATCAAGCTTGTTCGGGCCTCCACAGATCTCTATCAGCTGTCCCATCGCTATGACATATAACAATTGAACGCATTGGATGCGAGTATTATAGGCCTTCTATAATCCTCCAGATACAGATCCCGGTGGCGAAGTTCCAAGGAACGCATTACGTCCTCAGAGATAAATATTTATCGACTGGAGTGTTCAATTGTCCAGAATCTGACTGATCCGCTTCCTTATTTTAACAGCATATTGACCTATATTCTGTGCACGTGCGGTTCCTGGATGGATGCGCGGGCAACGTCTGAACTTGTTCCTATCTCGGTCCCATGACTAGAGAAAGGCACAGCTCGGTAGAACTCACTCTATTCTTGTATCAAGCGCTGCCTTACGCTGACTTCACTGACTGACAGCCTTGACGAGGCGCTGATGCGTGCCTTCCACTTCCCGATGGGCCCCACCGTGGATCTCTCAGTATCAGTAAGACATCATCTTGCTGTCCCAGGCTCCAGAAATCATCGATGATGACTATCCGCTACACTTATGGAATTCATGCATCGGCGGTGATGGGAATACAGCTCATGCGCAGGAAAAACGGGTTCCTACACGTCAACTTCTGTAAGAACGAAACCCAGGTCATAGAGAGCCGGTCTGCATCGCCCTACCCGGCAGTAAACACGTAATATCTGCGACCACAACATTCAGATTAGCCTGTGCAAGTGGCGACGGTAAAATGGATAGAATCACCTAATCCCTTCACGCTCCTGCCGAAACATCATCGAGACCCTCTGACCTTCCAGCCGATCCACATACGTGCTGCTGACTTTCATCCAGCGTTGCGTTGTTTAATTCGGAGATCAATAGTGAGGACCTTTCTGAGCGGGGACGTATGTCGCACTTGAACTCCGCGGGATAGCTAGGATCCTACGATGAGCTCGCCACAATGCAAGTCTTTATTTCCGACACACCTAGCAATTCCAGGAGCAAAGGAGGCAGTAGGGATAAGCTCCTTGCCATCGGCGTCGCGGAGTCTCCGGATATCTAGTGCTGCGGTGATATTCGCGATCGCGAACCATGTATTGACATCCGCAAAGTGGCGTCCAGGGCAGATCCTGCGTACGCAGGGAAGGCTCAGCTCCGAGCCACCCATCGTATTCCTAGCTGCAGCATACCGTCTACCGAATCCGAATACAGCCCTCCTTGGATCTGTCGCGTCTGCGGTTTTGGAGTCCATATTTACAAACCGCTTCGGATCGAAGGTGTCTGGGTTGGGATAGACTGTCTCATCGCGCATCATAGCCCTTTGGAAAGTCGCGCACGCTGTCATCAGATACATCACACACAAAGTGAGCACTAACCATATGTTCGGCATTACCATCGATCCGCGGGGAAGGTCATAGCCCCGATATTCATCGTCAACCGTCAGAGTGTGCGTAATTCCTTCATCGAAGCGGATTAGGGTGTCAAAAGCGATGGCAAAGCGGCTTCCAGAACGGACCTAGAGGAAGTGGTGGATTCCACCTATGAGGAGCAATGCGACATCAGTTGCGTGGATATCATTCTTTACGCCGTACGCCGTTCGTACCGGTATACCTCCTTGAGGACGCACTCAAGAAAAGGAAGCGAAGAACGGTCTTGAGGCTCTGGTAAGCGCTGGTTCTCAACTACTCCGTCGATTTCCTCCTGTGCCTGCCGGTATACCTCTGGGTGCAACACCATTGCGAGCAGAAAGGAAGAAAGGACAATTGCTGACTATCGACGGACAACTCGGTTATTCACATGTCTTCAAGCTGGAAATGGACTTACGGTGTCAAGGCCAGCTGCGAGCAATACATCAATAATAAAGTTATGTTTAGCACGTATATCCAACAAACCTCCATACAAAACAGCCGCCGTTCCTTTTATCTCTTCCTCATAATCTTCTGGCCAATGTGATCTGTCAGGATCCCGGAGAAGAGATGAAACGAAGGATTTCTGGGCGGTCCCAACTGCCTTCATGCAGGTCAGCACAGTGTGGAACTCCTTCATGGAAACGACTGACCAGTTCGCGTTTCACTTTCTGAAAGGGATCGTCAATGACCTGCCGCAGCTGCTTCCTGAGCTGCAGTGCTCTACGCTTGAACCCGGCTCCCGGCATCCATGTTGGTATGTGCACCACTGTAAGGAGCTATTGAGCGACATGCGCGGTTGTGTAATGTGTGATGTAGGTGCATCTCACATGCAGGGAACAGATCAACCAGAGTAGCTGCCAAAACTCCGGCGGTCGCACTGGTCTCTTCAGTCACCTCTAGCATCTTGCGCAGAGCATTATCCTCCCGTGATTTCAAGCTACATCCATAAGCGGTCTCGAGTATTAGTGCGCCAGTGAACCTATCACGAACGACTGTCATCCAATGACTCCTACAGGCAAACTCAATGCAGGCTATACCGTTTGAAATGCAGCGTGGCCTCTCCGGGATTGCCACATAAGTCCGACAAGAGACAAAAGATCTCTCGCCGCTGCAGAGCGCGAAGGCCTGACATGGCATCAGGATTGCCATATCCAGCTTGGATCCATTGTCTGTGCAGGCGCCAACGCTTGTCATAGGGCAGAAAAACGGTGGCGCGTTCCCAGCCGATTCTGTTCTGAGCTCAGCGGCGAATGTGTCTATATACTAGACAGAGACACCCACAGCTCAGTCATCATCGTAAAGTGAGGCCGTCCCGAGTACTTCGAACCTCTCCTGTCCAGCAATTCTTTCGCCACAGGCAATGAATCCAGGATTAAGACAGGGAAGCCAAGAAAGCGAGCGTATATTATGTCCCCTATACTTTGATCAGGCCGGTCTCGAGAAGACTCAGTGACTTGCAGACCACTCACCGTATAGCTTTGCCCACTCGTGGAACGTCCTGTGCAAATATCCATTTGGCAGTTGGTGCGCGTTCCCTATGATTGGGATACGGCCAGGCCCGGGTGGGAGGTTTCTTACGCGTTCGCGCAGTGCGAGATAATGAAGGAACAACAGCACGACCGCAACAACCAGGCCTATAAGAACAAGTTCAATGGGATCGTGCATCACAGCTTCAGAGAGTGATTGTGCAGAATGGCTGGCAATGGAGGGAACCCCATCTAGCAGGCGGCATTGTAGACCTTTATAGCTATATCGTCCTGGTATCACGCAAACCCCAGGTGTAGAATTGCATCCGCATTGAGCTAGCCTGATAAAGAGTGACATAAGGAATGCTTGTTGCTTGCAAGCCCTTGGCCAAAACCTTGCATGACATACAACCTGTGAAAGTGCTCCGCTAATTAAAGCACTAGGCTGCCGCAAGCACGAAACACGACACCATAATTGGCTGGACAAAAACTTCATCTCATCGATTACGATTGAGTCTTGAGCTTGATCTACATTTCCCGTGAAGAACGGAGCTTTGTTCAAATCCAATCATCGACGATAACGTATGGTACCATGTCGGAACTGCTTCATGCATGCAAAGGATGCCCATCACGCTGTATCGGATTATGCCAAAGCATTGTTGAGGCTGATGCATGTTAAGCGGCGAAGGCTAGTTTGGCTCGGGAAGGACAAATGTCGGATGCATCCTGGCGGCTGATTCGGAACTATTGCTTACGTGCATTCGAACGGAACATTGATTCGAAACAACCATTGCTACGTGGTTCGGGAAGCTGAGAAGCAATCCTGCAGTACGATCAGACTTACTCGAAGGGGAGGCACAAATGCTTGGAAGAGCTGTACATGCGCCACGGGCTATGGCCCCACCCCTGGATCGAGAAAATTCGCCGGCAGTGATCAGAGGGCCACATGAGAACAATCGTGGCACGGCAATCGAGCAGTCCGGCGCGGAACCTAAATGTTATCGTGAGTGTGAAGAAATTCTTCCAGCTGTGAAAAACAATGCCATCATGGCGTAGCAATCATTTTGGACATCACAACTTTGGAAAGATAGCTCATTCTGTGAACATAGATCCTGCGATCTTGCAAGGGCATGCACGAAACACATTACGTATGAAGAATAGAGATCATACTCAAAAAAACGCAGGGAAGGAAGGTTTTAAGGCACAATAACTAAGCTAATGACCATTCTATGGGCCAAGAAGTTGTCGGCTGGCAAGTCCGTACTGGTGTGTTTACTCTGCATGCAGCAGTATGAGCATCTGCTGAGACCCAGATGCGCTGAGTTTGCATCAACTGTGGCAATACGTACCTGAGGGTAGCACGACGAAAGCGCAGGACGCAATCATCTCGTTGTCTTCATCACTATGATCTGGCGACTGCAGAGCACGAGAAAATGAATTTAGAATGACACCAAAGCTTTCGCTTTGACGCCACTCCGCATCCGACTCATGCAGATTGCCACATTTCCAATGTCGCGGTGCCAATTCACGGGCTCTGCGAGTCCAGAAGTGTCGAGAGCACTGCAAGACTAGTTCGAGTCGAGCTGGGACTCGGAGTTCGCGAGCTTGTACGGTACTACTGGCTGGCGGTGGTGGTGACCAGTACTAACGTGACAGTGTGACGACAGTCAGGGTTTTGTTCGGCGCGATTTTGCAGACCACGACTTTGGCGCACTTTTCTACATCAGCTTCAAACCGCGTCGCATGCCTGATTTCAGCCTAGTACGTAGGGCCATCAGAGCCTGAAAACACAGTTGTGCATCACGACTCAAACGACATCTGGCATTCACGAATGTTCTGGGTGATCGTTCAGAGAGTCAGATCAAGTCCGCCACGCCGCTTGCGGCATCGATGAACGAATCGACGATCGATTGACGAAGGGACCTCAGAATTCATCATCTGGTTGCATATCATTTCTTTGGGAAAGGAGCGTGTCCGAGGAGAATAAAAGAATACAGATACGTTAGATACGTTATAATAATACCATGGCCGACGTCCTCGCACTTCGTCTCTGCAACTTTCGCATAGCGCAGCTTCAGCATTTTTGCGATGCCGACTGGCTCCTTGGAAGGGGTCTTCGGATTGGAACTAGCATCATGTCCCATTCTAGCCCCGCACCCGCTCGTGTGGCTCCTGCCAGGGCACACCTTCAACATGACGATCAGCAAGTATGTAACTGATGCAGGGCATGGCAGCCTACGTAAAATATCGAATATTTCCCTCTCAGTTTCCGATGCGATAATAGTGCCTGTCAAAAGGTAGAACACCCTTGGTCAATTGTCTGAATCAAATCACTCTTTGCAGAGACAACCGACCATCGTTCAGTTTCTGCCGTTTGTCACTTGGATTACGGATGACACCCGCATATAGGCCTCGTTGGTTGAGAGAATATCCTATCACGTTCGCCTTCATGCGAAGTGATCTGTTGAACTGATTCGACCCGAGTGCGCTGTCAAGTTCCAGGCAAACGTCATATATTCTGGACTCACAATGTCATCGCCCTGTAAAGCAAATGAGATAAGCTGCTGCTCAACGCCCACCCTTTGATCAAACGTACCGTGTAATATAGCATAGCAGCACCTCTCGACGCGTAGGGAATAGTCAGAAAATCTATGTCTCGAGATGAGCGATAATCTGAAGCCCATCTAAGTTACCTACCGATACGACGTCGAGGACTAGTCAAGTCTCTCCTGCAGAGCCCTCGATATACAAGTTCCAAATCGTCGAAGTTGTCAGGCAGACCCAGATCTTCTGTGATAATGCCACGCTCGTGCAATTCCCGTAGGAGGCGGCGGAGAATACCTTTGCGTCACAAGGTTAGCAAGTCTCGGCCGCGAGCTCGACAAGAGGTGGGTTCTACCTTGGTGAGTCTTTCCGTCACTTGTGGGTCGAGTGATCAGAATGTCGATGTCTCCGCAATCTGCCTTTCCCCTGTGATGCTTCTTCGGTACTCGCAGAGTTGAGACAACGGGCAGTCGTACCTTCTATAACTACCCATAATTTCGATAAATAGGCTGGAGTCGATCTGCAATGCTATGGTGCATGTGAAATATTATCGACTGTTGCATTACGGCACGTAAGCGTTGAGTACTAACCCATTGGTTTGATGATGTTAAAAATATCGGCGGCCTCGCTTCTAGGCATCCTAGAGTTTATTTCTGAACAGAGAATTAAGAAACACTAAGTGAAAGAGCATATCCGATGAGATTGAAGTTACTCACCTTGGTAATATTTCAGGCCGATTTCCTGGGCGGCACTCAGCACGATCCCTCCTTTTCTTGCCCTAACATCATCTAACGTCCGGCAACCTCTAGCATACCACTGGAAGGCGATGTGACGTCCTATCACGCGCAGCACAGCATGAGCCCATGCACACAGAGTCAAAGGAAGATCAGCGCTCACCTACACCGTAGATTCCCTGAAACAAGCTGATCGCCTCCACGTCACTTGTTCTCTCGTGCTCGATACGGCGCAGATCGCCCGTCTCCAGAATTTCTACTATCTGTAACGTGTAGGGTGAGAAGGGAGCGTCAATGCTTGTTCGATCAGAATGCGCTGCTCGAGACGGAATCACTCGCCTTCCTTGCGGTCTTATCTCCTATACCCTTGATTGCTCTAGCCTCCTCGTATGATGTGATCCTAATCTGGCACGAGCGGAGTGCTCGGATGGCTGCACGATCGACCATTCATATGCAATTCGCTGATAAGTGGGACATTTCCATCACACCCCAGATGATGTCGTGCTACGCACCTTTCCCATAGCTGAAGACCCGCCAACGGTCCTCCTCCAATGGCTTGGCCTTGACCAGATCCATCAACTCTTGTAGCTAGGAGGTGTCCATCAACGGTCACTGAATGCAGAGAACATGCTCACCTTATCGATGATATCCTGATTCGCACATCGCACAGCTGGTCCCTCGCCCTTCTTATCGCATAGAAAGCCCTGGAGATATGGGGAAGTTAGGTCCCTGGCCGATCATCACTGGCGAATATATAGAAGAACCTACCCTCTTCTGAGGAACCTCACGGATCGCACCTCGTGGCTGCTTCTCAATTGAATCATCGTCGAGTTCAGAGTCGCCGTCTTCGTTGCCCAGCAGATGCTGTCGAAGAAAGGCATGAGCTTTACGATGCTAGCGAATTCATGATAAGGGATTGACTTCTGTGTCTCGCTCGGCCCGCGCTCGAGCATAGAATTCAGCTAGAGGATCCTCGTCAGGAGGAGGAGAAGGGAGTTCATAATGAATATGTGGTTCGGTTATCGAGGAGGATCCCGCGACGTTCGTGCGGTCTCTTTTTTCTTCGTGATCCGCGACGCCCCGAGTAACGGAGGCTGGAGACCTGAGCTTCTCATCCGAATATTGATATATAACTGATTCCCGCGGCTCATTTTTGTCCTGCGTAAACTCCCTGATATGGCCAAAAAATGAACAATCCAGTCAGCGAGAATATACGGCAATCCGGGGCGCACGCACGATATTCGGCTGAAATCTTCCTCAGCCACAGCCGCCTGCTGGCGTCTGCTCCGTTCACCGCCATCTACCGACCGGCTGGCTCTTACTCGTCCGGCCTGCTCTTTTCGCTGAACCTTGCTCGTCATCTCGCCAAATCCAGCGTCTAGCCTCTCCTTGAACGACGCATGCATGATCTCGTAGTCCATCCACACTTCATCCACCTTGGAACCCTCGCCGACATCGGACTCCCCAGCTCTGTCCTTCCCCTTGTCACCAGCAGGACCCCGTCTGATCCGCGAAAGACCAGATGCTACCCAGCTCCATTTCACCGTGGGTATGTTGTTCGGGATCTCAGCTAGCGACTTCAACCCCAACACGCGAAGAAGAGGCCGCTTCTGTGGCTGGTTGCTGGTGACGATATGTGTCACCTGGGCTGGGTCATACGTCGGTATCAGAGCACCGCCATGCTTGACAATCTGCGGGTGGCATGATGTGAGAGGCGGCGAATCGAGAAGGGAAATGGACTCGCTATCTCCATTCGCTTCCTAGTCTCTTCGCTCGCATATTTCATATCCCCTCCATAATAATAAATCCTCTTTCCTTTCAAAAATGGAGTGGACGAGACTCTCAATCTCGCTTCGGCGTCAGCAAGCGCAGATAGGAGCCTCTGCGCATAATCAAGCGGGGTAATTAATTCTTTCTTAGCCTTACCCTTCTTCGTCGACCATGCTTGATCATTTTTCGACTGTGCTGCTGATCGCGCTAGAACAACGCGTGTTGACGGCAACTTCTCACCGGCGGCGCTGGCGGAGTGAGGCGGGGTGGTCACTGTACTACTGTCTGCTGCATGGCGCTGGGCAGCGTGTGTCTCAGGAAGTATCACGACTTTGTTTGGACGGCCCGGACCACTGGAACTTGCGTGTTTAGGAGTCCTTGTATTCGCCATTGCTTGAACCTTCCTCTCTTGTTGCACGACCGCCGAATCATCGACGGGATCATCAGCCTTAACGACCATCCTGCTGCGAGATGTCGACATGGGAAGCTGACGAGACTCAGGCACAGTATTGTCAGCTGATAATTCGGCGTTCTTGTTGTCTAGCTGAGATAACGAAGAACCCGCAGAAGCAGATAGCGCGTTTTCGTCTTGCGCAACTTGCCTGGTCTCGATGGAATGACAACCTGTTTTCGTATGCTCGGCATGGGATTGTTCGTCTGCAGGCCCATTCGTACCGAACGGCTGGATCGCGTCTAGTCTGCCCTCTGATCTTTCGACATATATCGGTGGTGCGTACCCGGGGTAGTTCCTGTGGACAATGCGCATTGGGTAGGGGCCGGCACATGCACCTAAAGCTTCACGACTGACCGTGACTCGTGTCCTATGGAAGCATCGGGGATGCCGGCCGTGTGGTCAATTGCATCCGACAAGTCTCCCGACCTGTCGCGTATCCGCTTCCCCTTGTTAATATTATCTTCACGTTGTTCCACGGTTACTTCCGGCGATTTGTGCTTTCTATTGGTTGTGCATGTTCACGGACCAGCTTGTCGCAGACAGGAGCGGTTTAACTTACCGTGCACTTGTGTCACAAAAAGACTCTTCGTCAACATCATCGTTCCAGTCTAGTTCAGGTATCAGTGCTAGTTGCCACTTAACAGGTATTTCTCTCCTACTCATGCTAGGTTCCGGGGCTTCTGGGCCGTCGGATGCGACAAATGCTGTGTTGTGCTGTTGGCATGAGGATCCTCCGGAACGTGCACTTCTCTGAACGATTGTAAAAAGTACGATAGAATATGCCATGGTGGCGTTACCTTTTTCGTCGCTGTACCATACGCTTGACGTATTCATCGAGGCCTTCCTCTGGCAAGTTCAGATGCTCTTGCTGGTCCGCTATATAGGCTTCGAGGTCAGCCATAAGGTCGCAGCGAAACGTCTCGCAAAGTCTGGATGTAGTGTGGCAGTGGCCACCGATATGGTTTTTCGTAAACGCCGTTATGTACCTATATGTGGGTAGCGCTCAGAAAGGCGCTTGATTCCCACGGTATGGCGGCCTGAAGATGCCCCGCAAGCAGCGACTCGCTTGCTTGTCGACCACAGAAAATTTTTTTCGAGGCGGGCATGAAATCTTGACAGTCATACCAGTGTTCTGACAGTTTGTTGCAATGTTCTACGACTTCTAGCGCGCTGCTCAGACTATTCGGTGATTTCATATGACTCGCTATGTCCGCATTAAACTATCTTAGACCGATCCTATTTCGCGTAGGAACTTCTGATGCATTTTCGCGGCAACGTTTCCTAAAGAACGACTGGACTTGAACAGTCTCAGGCTTCACGATACTCCGATACTCCGCGCAATCTGGCCTGATTTGGTCTAGAATAAGTCCATCTCCTCAGACTTTCCTGTCGCGTCCGGTCCCTCATTTCGCTCGCGATTTATCTGATCTGGTCATCATTCAAAGAATGGACTCCGGCCTCAGTCAGCGAATGGTTATCATAGAGGATTGGTGTGGTTGGGCAACTCCGCCACACAGAGGTAGGACCCACAGACACAAACTAATGCTAAACAATTTCGAGTCAAGTGACCGTTTGTGTTCTGGCCGGCTCCAGACCAATTGGTGCTATACATGCCCTCAGTTGATCATCTTCATTCTCGGGACGCCGACAGTCACGCACATCCCCCACCTCGAGCGGTATCTTCCATGCCTCTCCTAGTAGTTCTCCCATGATGATACCTTTCGGAATGGATCGAGGGAACGCTTTGCAATCTCCCCCAAGCCCTCTCCGACTCGCGTGATGCGTGTCTGGCCCACACGATATTCGCGGACTTTGCATCGCCATGCGCATGACTGTACGGTGAACAGTTCGGGTCAGTGCATGAAACGCATGTTTTAGTTCCGCGGCAAGCCCAAGTGCCTAGCTGATCTGAAAAGGCGCGTTTGCTCAAATGCGGCTCGATGGTGCCCTGCTCTGGTTATGTGCCTCGGCCGGCTATGCTTACTTGTGTCACGGTGGTGATCAGAGGCATATGGAGTAACGCCCCTCGTCGTGTCCCCGCGTCGTGTCATGCACTAGTATCGCGGACCGCAAATATGATTCCTGATCGCGTCAAGACACCACCGGGCTCACGGTCGGTCCCCTAACCACCCCCCCTTGATCAGTCGCGCTCGTTCTGGCAACGGTGAGCCGCTGAGTCGCTGAGTTAACGTCGCCGCTCGCAATCGTCGGAGTTGGTATGTAGCTGCTTTACTTGCCTATAATTGAACAACTTCGCCCTCGCTCCTGGCCTTCGCATCCTCGGCCCACTGCTCTCGTGCCTTTCTGTTAAGCTGTGCTTCTCCGTGCCCATCGACTGTGCTCAGATGCCACACGGCCACGACGATGACCACCCTAATGGTCAAGTGCCGGAGGACGACAGCAGGTCTGACGCATCTTCAGACCTCGAAGAACTGTATCCCCACGAATTCCCCAGATACTTCGTTGAACGGGACGGTCGACTCTTCCATTCTCATGTTAGCTCGCCGTATCCTTTGCCGGTTGATGCGTACGAGCAACATGTACGTACATTTCCAAGCACTAGTCCCCATTCAGGCTGCTTCATTGTTGCATTTCCTTGTGCCCAAAGAGACAACAGACTGATAAAAGTTTGTTTAGAGACAAAACAGGCAGCATTACCTCTTGCGGCAAGTTGTGGAAGCGAACTACGCAAATCTTGTTCGCCATGCTCTCCGGAACCTTCCCGGCGAACAACGACACGTCGTGGATTTGTGTACAGGGACAGGTAAATGGTGAGTGTGCAATTCGGCTGTAGGCAGCGCAGCTTCGCTCACATCTCACCCGCCCAGGGTCATGGACCTTGCCGCCGATTATCCGCACGCAAGAATTGATGGCCTAGACATCGGTATGCATTTATCGCAATTGACGCCCTTATGTCATGTTCCTCACGACAATTCAATACATAGTTCCCATTCAGACAAGGCATCCATTGAAGAATGTGTTCTTCGAGATGCACGACGTGACCGAGCGCTTCCGCTACGGTGATAGGACGATAGACTTCGTTCACGCCAGGGACATCTCATACGCGGTTGGTTGATCTCGAAGTTTCCTAACTTCGATTGCTCAATCCCTTTAACTTAGGTTCGAACTAGCGACTTCCCTGCACTCATTCGCGAAGTCGCGCGGATTCTCCGTCCAGGAGGTCTCTTCATGTCAGGAGAATGGGAGTCTGATCCCATCATGTCTAATGGGCAGCACCTCGACACGGCCGCTCCGGACACCTTCGTGTTCTTCCGCGAAGTGAAGAACGCTCTGCGCACGTGCGGCTTGGCCTCTGCCGCGGACGGCATTCCCCAATGGCTCCGTGCGTCGGGTTTCCGAGACCTTGCGATACACCAGTTTAGGATGACCAACGACGAGCAAACCGGCAGAAGGTTCGTGATGATTGTCACCACCTATGCCGAGTCCATGCAGTTGTGGCTCGTCAAGGGGGGCCACCTCAGCCATGCACGAGCTCGAGAACTGGTACGTGGGATGTTGCGGGAGGTCGACTCCCTCCCAGGTATCGTATTTACATACCGTGTCGTGCACGCGCGTGCGATTTAAACGCAGTATCACCTGTTGTATCTTGTTCATTTAACGTTGTGGCCTCTTGTTGACTTCAATTTGCATAAATAGTTAGCCAGAAAATCGGAAATTCGTGATTGGTCGACTCTGAGCGCTAAGTGTTCGGCTGAATCCGGAGACTGTCATGTTGTGCGCGTCGGCGAAACGACCTCCTCCTCCATCCTCGTCTAAGTCACTGTTTTCTCTATGCTCGCTGCCAGGACGTCGGCTGCACGTCGTGCGTCGCGTATCGCGCGCAATTTCGCTACCGTTATTGACGCTGCCGGCGTGAAGGTCGCAGCGGTCGACAATGGCGAAGCAACGTCCGCCGTGACCTTCCTGGTCAAGGCGGGAAGCAGATTCGAGAGCAAGCCGGGTGTCGCTCACGCGTTGAAAGGTTTTGCTTTCAAAGTACGTGTCAGAGGGCTTGTATTTCCCTGCAGCCGCTCAACGTAAACGCCGCTAGAGCACGGACAAACGTTCATTCCTGGGCACCATTCGTGAGGCGGAGTTGTATGGCGGCGTGTTGTCGACGAGCTTGACGAGGGAGCACTTGGCCGTCAGCGCGGAGTTCTTGCGCGGAGATGAGTGAGCCCAGATGCTCTGTGCGTGCGACACGCTTCTCAGATTCCCACAGGTCGTTCTTCGTGGACGTGCTCTCCTCCTTCCTCACCTCTGCCAAGTTCACCCGACACGAACTCGAAGAGTACGTCGCACCTCTATGCGAGGCCGAGTCGACGACGGCCTTCACGAACCCTGCCAATCGTGCACTCGACCTCGCGCATCTGCTTGCATTCCGCTCTGGTCTCGGCTCCTCGCCGTTCACGTCGCCCGGCACGCACGTCTCTGTCGACGACGTGCACGCGTACGCGAAATCTGTTTTCACGACTAGTAACATCGCCATACTCGGTTCTGGTATCGATGCGTCCGTCCTGGAGAAGCTCGTTGGACAGTCCCTCAGCGGTGCCCTCACAGCTTCCTCTGCACCGACCAGCAGCCCGAGCGCATACTTCGGCGGCGAGACGCGCATCGAGGCCCATGGTGCCCCCGAGACGGTCTTCATTGGCTTCGGCACTTCTGGAGCGCCTGCAGCTGAGCTCGCAGTCCTGGCAGCACACCTTGACCCTGTGCCGTCCCTGAAGTGGGGCCAGAGCACTTCCCCTGTCGCCAGCGCCATTCCCGTAGGTGCATCTGTGAAGTCAGTGTATCTTCCATACTCGGATGCCTCCTTGTTCGGTCTGCTTGTCCAGGCGGAGACTGCGGACGGGGTCAAGGCGGCAGGGAAGGCGGCGGTTGCAGCGCTCAAGGCGGCTGCAGATCTCAAGAGTGAGGAACTGCAGAAGGCTGTTGCGAAAGCTAAGTTCACGGCTGCAAGCTTCCTGGACAGTCGTGATGGTCTCATCTCCTCGATGGGTATCCACGTATGCACTCTTCCTTTCTTCCTCTGCAGTGGTTGACAGCCTGCTTTAGGCTCTCGGCTCGCCAGCTACACTCGATAGCACTCTCTCGAGCCTGGATAAGGTCGATGCTTCGGCGTACTCTAAGGTACGTTTTCGTATCACGTCATCCCACATTGGATGTCGGCTAACGATGTCTTTCAGGCTGCATCTTCCCTCATCAAGGCCAAGCCCACGTATGTCGCGGTTGGTGACATCAAGACTCTGCCTTACGCGGATGAACTCGGGCTTTGAGCATCAAAAATAGACAGAGCGTTATGACAACTTGCAGACATTTCTAATTGAGGCCTGGAGGGCATGTTCTCGTCGATGGAACAACCCGACCATCTTCATTTTTTGAGTTGGCTAAGGCTTCAGGACTGATTGCGAGAATGCTGCCATCAAGAACACACCTACGCATCTTCACAGACGAGTGGTCTTTATCAGTGACAGACGAGTTGCTTCAGGTAATATACAAATGATCTAAGCGGAAGCAAGGAATATACAAGAACAGAAACGAGAATAATAGCGATTACAGAAGAATTACATAGCAGAGAAAAGCGAGTACGTGTGAGAAGAGGCGAGGCACATAAATGTGAGCAACCAAAGAAAGCAAACATAACAAAAGCTGAGGATGACAACGGACTGGTCATTTTTTTCTGCAACACGTCAACACCACTGTGGAACCGGTTCCCAAACGGCGGCCGCATCTGTTCATCTCGTGTCATCTGAGATGATGTTGCCAATGCTGAGAGGATTCTTCTTCCCTCCGGCAGTGCTTCTATCGCCGGATTGAGGGGGAGGCGAAACTTGGCTCCCGCGGAGCGGCGCAAGCTGGATCCTATGCACGTCTCGCCCGCCGGTGGCGCTACCAGCATAAGACCCATAGGCGTCGTTTTGCATCATCACGCCTTGTCCGCCTACCGCCCATGAATTTGTGTTTTGCGCGTAGCCCCACGAACCATCTGCGCTTGTGGGATTCGTTCCGCTGGAGCTTGCCTGAGCACTCGTGCCGCCACTCACAGCGCTCGATAGACTCCCACCACCACCGCCACTGCCAGGCACCGGCGGATAGGTGCTATATCCTGATTGATGCTGGTGAGGCGGCGTGCTAAGCTGATACTGCCCACGCGATCCCGTCTGGCTCGCGCTGGACGCCTGGCTCTGACTGCTCTGTTGATGAGCCTGCGTGGAATGCCCGTATTGCGCGTAGGGAGAGGGAGGCGGAGGCGCGTAATGGTGATGAGTTGCCGCACTAGGCGCGGAGACCGGCGGCGGAGCAGAACCGTATCCAGCCGGAGTGTAGCCTCGAGAGCTCACCGAAGCAGTCTGGACGGGGGCACTGGCGCTGCTGTTCTGCGAGCGGGTGTCTGCAGCGTGGCCAGTGTGGCTTGGAGCGGGATGGTTGCTATAATCATAAGAGACGCTTGGAGCAGACGTTGGCGGCGAAGGCGGCGCCGATGCTGCGCCGTACCCAGGATGGTGATATACATGGTGCGAATGGTGGCTAGGCGGTGGGGGCGGAAGTACCTGATGCTGCGGTTGGACCTGGTGCTGTGACTGGTGCTGCGCCGGCGGTTGCTGATGGTGAGGCGGTGGGGCGTGCTCGTAATAGGCGTATGGCTGCGGTGCGTATGCGGGATATTCCCCGTAGCGAGGCGGCGGTGGTGCGTGGTGCGCGTGCGGGTGGTGTGATGGCGGGGGCGGCACGCCATAGGGCTGATGGTGCGCGTACGGATCATACCATGGTTGGCCGGGCGCAGACGCCGGTGGGTACGAGTATGGATGGTGCTGAGAGACCGGCGGCGGGGGCGGGACGTGCGCGTATGGATGCGGCGGGGGCGGCGCTGAGTAATGATGCACGGGCGGTGGCGGCGCGTGTTGGGCGTGGTGCTCCGCGTAGGGATAGGAGGCGGGCACAGACCCTGGGGCGGGCGGAGGCGCGGACAACTGAGCAGGAGCTGGAGCGTATCGCTGCTCATACGAAGGCGGCGGGGGAGCAGAGTGAGGGGCAGGTGCAGAAGCGTAATGATGTTCTCCAGGACTAGTGGGAGGCGGGGCTGGCTGGGCGACGGGAGGAGGCGGAGCAGTCAGCGCAGGGTCGATGGGACCCCACCCTGCGCTGGAAGGGCCCGCGCTGACGGGGCTCGTCTGAGTGCCGTCCGTATACCCTCCGCTCATACTGCCGCTTGCACTTGCACCTGTGTTGACCGTCATACTACTATCGTCCGCTCTTATGCGCTTCGTGCCCCTCTCGCTCGTGCTGTCCCGCCTGTTACTGCTGCTCCCGCTATCTCTTCGTCCTGACATTCTCCGGGGCTCCTCTCTCGGGCTGTCCTTTTCACTTTCGGCGACTCTTGATCTCTCAGCGTGAGGAGACTCGGTCAAGTGTGGACCGTCAAGAATCCTGTGGCTACCCTCATCCTGACCCCGTTCCTCGTCAGCTTCCGAGTCATCCAGGCGCACTGGTACCGGACCAAATGCGCCACTTTGCGGGGGTCCTGGAATTGGTATCGGAATGGGTGTGGGCGCTTCATTGCCCGGAAGGGGGCGCTTGCGTACGCGGATGTCCTTGCGGATGCGAATCTTGATTCCCTGATCAGCCAACGAGCACGATAGAGGCGTCGATTCTGTTTGAACGCGCGAGATATCGATGAGATTCAGGTTGCGTCGGGACACGACGCTGCGACTTACCTTCCATTCCGGGGAACTTCTTTGCTGTATACACGTAGAACGGAGCCGAGAAGATTGACTTGCAGTGGTATACGCTCGACCTGTTTCATTCCATGTGAGTCTATCTGGAACAAGATATGCAGACCTGCAAGTACGCGTGTTGCCTGGCAGGCATACCCATGTATGTCGCACACAGCGTACGCGTCAAACGGTGGGTATCCTGTACATTGGCCATCATGAGCCAAGAATGGGACTGAGCGAATGACCCAGTAGCCACTACATAGACCCCCACCATTGTGGGAATGGAGCACAGAAGGTCCGAGTACCCGGTAACGACAGAGATATGATCGCAGATCTAGCATCCGAAGATTGAACATCACGAGCTGTGTGTGCAGTGAGTGTTGCTCAGCCTCTCTCAGCAACGTTGCAGACATCGACTGGGTAAAGATAAAGCAAGAGATGCACCCGCCAAGTCTGATGCACAGATCCCCGCTAGATCTGCCATGACCCAACAAAACGGACGCAAGTCGGATCCCAGATCTACGCCACATCGTATGCACGCGTCTCTCTCCAGATCGAGACCTATGGGACACTCACCCTACCACTTCGAACAGGCTCAGCTTCAGTCGGTAACTCCCCTCTGTCCGCACGCTTAGATCAGGGAAGACAAAGAACCCCGCATCTGCTCCGCCAGCTTCGGTATCCTTGAGGTGATATAAAGAAGACACGACGGAGCCAGTTGTGCATCGTGTCTTGCCGTCCTATTCATTCAAAAGCGCATATATGCGGATGATTGATATAGTTCGGCGATGAATAGAAAATAGGGCGAGTTTTGTGTCAGGCGGGGAACGTCACGAAGCAACAAACATACCTTGAGCCAATGTAGTTCCACATCCTCGTCCGGTTTTGCAAGAGTCGCGAACATAAAATAGTACGGATTTTGTAGAAAACTTTGTGATGCCAGTGATGCGGCAACATCTGCAGTTGTGGAAGGTCATAGAAGGCCATGGAATGCGCTCAGTCCAGCAATGCGTAAATGTACAAAATAGTCGCTTACCTGGTGAGTCCGCGCGCGAATCATTGGAATGCCTTCGCTGAGATGGATCGATCACTCGGAGCTGAACAATTGGGGGAGGGTCGATGGGCCGTCGATCGGCTAAACGAAATGATCGTCAGGATTGCCCATCTCATGCTATCGGTAGAGTGGAAGTGTGGTATAGTAACGAATGATGATTTTGATAACGTGGTGGGATGGAAAGAATGGGCATGAGAGGAATAAACCTTTACCGCCTACGCCACACATGCGTGCCTGTTTGGGTTCCTGGCGAACCGTTAATTCGTACTCTCTTGAATGGTTTCGGGCCACGTTGTAGAGCAACATTCAAGAATCCGGAAGCATCCCAAGAACGTTAAACGAGGGTAGATGGGCGAAGAATAGGGTATATAACCGAGGAGAAAGTAGCAATCAGTCAGCATTTGATCAGAGCATCGAGAACATGAGCAAAGTGGCGAAGAGACAACACGGGGCGAAGAAGACACGCGAGAGACTCAGAGATCTCTGGAACAAATGAAGAGGAAAGACTCGAACGCTGCCCCAGTCGACGCGTTACTTACAATCGCTCTCTCTCATACGTCGAGTGCACTGGTAGCTGCGCATGAATGAACTGCTGTTCTTCCTCCATTACTTTCGTGGGCTGGGCAGCGTCGTGGAAGAAAATCAGAGAGAGAGAGACGGGCTTGTGTCGTCGAGCAGGCAGCCGGGCACCGTCAGGGAGAACGTGCAGGTCGAGAGAGCCGAGGGCCTCTCATTTAGCGCACACTTCAATAGCCCGTGCACCGTTTTGGATAACTTTCCCACCCCTCACTGGCCGGAACCAATGAATGGGCCCCCCGCTTCCCGGGTCGATCGCCGATCGGCTGTATCCGAGTCCGTGGGCACCCGCCGTGGTCCCGGTTTCCCTCGAATCTCCCGTTTACTCCACGCGAGCTAATTAATGTAGGCCACCGCATGTATCGCCTCAGCTATTCACTTTCAAGTAGTCTACTCTACATTCTGATCTTCTGGAGATCTCGACCGCGCAGCCCTAAAACAGCACTTCATGCATCGTGTTTGAAACTTTCTCCGCGTCTTGGATTCCGTAAGGGCGCACATCACGGCAACTGTCATCTAGACTACCGCACGGTAGTAGTTTTCTCACTGCATGGCCTCTGGCAGGACAATTTTACGAATTATGGCGATCTTCGCACGGCGTCTCTGGCCAGTCGTGTACTGCTCCAGCACCGATGTCAATCTTTTTTGGCCCGCATCATGAGCTCAATAACGAGCTAGTGGTAAGTACCTGAACTCCCGGCCTATGCCAATGCCCGTAATCATTTGTATCCAGGGCACCATGCAGGATCAGAAGCCTGCCAGCATCTTGCGGCGAGCCGCTGCAGCTCTTCTATTACACGTTCGCTATTTGCATCCGGACCTTCTATTCATCGTACAGCCTCGTTGGCAAATGGGTCGTTTTTCAAACACGATTCTCCACGGAGCTGAAGCCCTTTGCGGGGAAGTCGTACCAAGTCGTCGGGTGCCGCTGGTCAGGCCAACGGTGGGATAGGCTGCGCTGTCGCGCCAAAGTTTCAACATTCTGCCACAATAAATGAACGTGTTGTCTTCATTGAGTAAATCTATGCTTAGATGACGAATTTGATCTTCAGTGTTTTGAAGAGCGGTACTTTCTCATTTCAAGGATATCTGTGTGCCGCACACGCCCCTACCGTGACAAAATCAAAAGCAGTCGTTCATTTACTAGACTGGACGACACATCTTTGCCGAGCTTATGGGTTGAGCTTTGTCATTTGGGACGTTTCGTGCAGTGAGTTCTCTCGCACTCCTGGAAGAAACGGCGCGAGGTATTTAGTGACTTCGCGAGGTTCATGCCATCCTGCTTGACTTCTCGCGAGGGTCGGACGGCCTCCGGCCATTCTGGATGTGGCCAGTCGGGTTCTGCAAGTATTCATTCATTACATGATAACGTAATGGAGTATGGTGCCACTTGAGCAATGCTGCCATTGCCGTAAACCAATTTTGCTCCGGTGCGTGCTTTTGCCTATTTCCATCGTGTCTATTCTCAGCAGACGTATTGACCGAAAGGGCAGCGCATATACCCGTGTGAGGCTACACCACACTCGTGCCTGTAGGTATGCGGATGATCTGTTGAAGAGACACGACGGATCTCGCGTACATCCCGAGATGGTTCACAGGCGTACGTGCGATGATTTCTCAAAAAGTTGCGACATGCAGTTCTGATCTCAATGAATCCGGCAACTTGTATTCCTCAACCCCAGCATGCGTCTCGACCGGAAGCTTCAATGACAGGAAGGGTCTCGGCTAGTGCGAACCTACCCGCTCCGTCAAGGTTCATCGCCGTTGACCCGGCCCTGCGTGGTATCGTAGTGGATACAGAGCGAAAGTATGTCATCAACTTGCGACCCGGACCTGGGCCTCGGTGCCCATTCATTCATCTCCATTGGTACGTGTTCACATTCTGTTGGTTGCTGAGTTGTCATACGTAAATCTCATTGTCATACTTCCGCCATGCGACACCCCCAATCGAGCGCATCTCGTCACACCTCTGCTCTTCTTCAGAGTCTGGAACGCGCCCATAGGCAAGTAAATGAGACTAATTCAGGCTCGACTGTCGCCAAGCGATCACACGGTAAGGATATCTGGTGCCAGTTCCTGGGATCGTGTTGCCTTGCGGAGATGAATAGCATCGCTCTAACGCCCGAGGACCCTGACCCGGGAGCCGCTTATGGACGGAGCCAGCTTCCCGCCCCGAATCGCTGGCAATGCTACATTTAATACGGCTCCCTGCCAGTCTGGACTAATCGCCTCGTTGACAGGGGCCGCAAAGAGTCCGGCGCCGCATAATACGCTGTGTTGATGCAAAGTTATCCCGTTGTTACTATAGCCGCCGCTCCACAACTTGCCGTAATTCGCAAGATATTAGAAACCCTGCGGGCGGAATAAGATGGTCAACTGAGCCCACACATCTCAAATATTGCTCGAAGGTCGCCACAGTCACTACAGGCTGCGTCTACATCTGGTGATTTTCACTTGCCAACTGTTTGACATTTGAAACTTAGTTTCATCAGCGTTCTTTTTTGACTGATTTGAAGTGCACATGCCAATAAATGCGCAACAAAACCCGGAGAAACGTCTAAAATGAGTAGTAGGTCGCGGGACTTTCTCGAGCTTGCAATCTTTTTTTGGTGATGGCAAGGCAATAAAAGCATGATGAGGCAGATTTGAGTTTTCCTTGCGTTGCACGTGTTTTCGGAAGCATCCTGTTCGGAAGTACGCCGTACATCTCATCTCATACTCCAGTCACAAACCATGCATATGGCATATCCATTGTCATTGGGCATGCATGAACCCACCTTGGTCTAGGCTGCGAGGACAAGCTGTCGCAACCGAGCTCATGCTTGACACATATTCTCAACTTGTCGAGGATTTATCTCACCAAAGAATAGAGAAAATATACAAATAAGCCTTCTAACCTCGATGATAATGTTGCTTGCTCTTCATATCATGAGCTGAAAGGCACGCCTTCACTTCTTCTTCCGTGACTGTGCGCCACCGACGCGTGACGAGACGCGTCTGAGCGCGTCGAATCATTCACACCATCACCATCACCATCAGCCTGTTCCCTCCCCCCTCGCCCCCATGCACAAAATCACGAACTAATCTGCTAAATGCGCGTGAAAGGTCCTCAATCACATCAACCGCTGAAAATTCGCGCGCTTTCAAAACGGCAACCATGTTGTAATCTCTGTCCGGTATTACAGAGGCACTAATGAATTTCTATTGTCATGCAACCCCGCTGATTTATGACCAATTCGTATCTTCTCATGATGCCCAAACAATTGGCGACATGTATCCAGGAACATTCGATGACTATATGCGCGGAGTTTGTGCAAGCTCAATCACAAAACTCGATGGCTACGCGAGTGAGAATCTCAGTCACCCTCGCGATGCTATCCACTGTTGCCCACTCCTCCGACGAATGCGCCCCTCCTCCTTGCACACCAAACAGAAGCGAAGGGATACCATTGTCCGCCAAAAGTGCGCTGTCTGCCCAGAACGATGCGCCAGCAAGTTTCACCTCTTCCCCCAAGACCTCGCGTGCATGTCTAGCAACCAAGTTCGCAAATGGATGTCCCTTCTCGATCTCGAACGGTGGTCTGAAAATTCCCATGTGAAGCTCAGACTTGAAGTCGGGCGCCTCTCGCGCGAGCTTGTCGAGAAGAGCATGTAGTTCCAGCTCCACTAACTGCGGCGTCTCGCCAGGTACCGTTCTCCGCTCGACAGATACCGTGCATCGCGCCGGATAGGACGACAACTCTTCTCCGCCTTTGATGAGACTGCAGTGTACTGTGCCCGTTCCCAGAATAAGATGCCTCGCTGCACCCTCTACTCGGCTTGCCAGTAGGTCCTCACCATATTTTTCAAAGGCAACGAGGAAGTCGCCCGCTTTGGCGATTGCATCTACAGCGAGGTCTGGACGCGACCCATGGCCAGCTTTACCGATGATGTCTACGTTCGCCCAAACGAAGCCCTTGTGGCACAGCTGTAGCTCAAGACTCGTCGGCTCGCTGACGACGGCGGCATCTGCGCGCCAGCCAGCTGCAAGCAGCTCCTCTATGCCGAGACTCATATTCTCCTCGTCAGCAACAAGAGCAAGGATAATATCGCCCTTCAACTGCTGCGTCTCGCGCGCTTGATAGGCAGCAATGAGCGAGGCTGCGACCCCTGCTTTCATGTCGAACGATCCCCGACCGTGCACGGCACCGTCCTTGATCTCGCCACTCAGCGGATTCCCGAGATATCCGGCCGTTGTCACCGTATCGATGTGCCCGTTGAACATCAGCGCCTTGCCTCCCCCACTCCCTCTTGCCACGCCCACGACGCTTGGACGACCAGGACGGGATTCTAGCCTGTGTACCTCGAATTCGTGATGCATGAGCCAGCCCATGAGGTATTCGGCGATGATTGCTTCGCCCGTTCCAGCGTGCCTGCTCAAATCTGGGTTCGACGAGTCGATGCCAGTGAGGATTTGGGTGAGCGCAATTGGATCCGTCGTCGTAGTGTCAAGAGGAAGAGCGTAGTCGTGCGGACCCTCGGTGGCAAGAAGGGCAACGACGCTGTCATCGTGCAGTATGTCCACTTCGGACTGAGCAGCTAGGAGACGCAGGGCAGCCAATGGTGCGGCACCGCACGGGCCGACGTCGACACCCGCCGCGTGCAGCTCTTGCACTGCTCGATGGACCTCGATGTCCGGCACGGATACGCATACGTCAACGCCTTCCCGGAGAATTGGCCACGCAAGCGAAGAAACCGTCCCGCAGTGAAGACCCGCCATGATCGTGGAGGCCGTATCAATCTCAGCAGGAGCGGATGCGCTAGAAGCACAATTCAGGAGGCCTTTCTTGAGACATGCTGCTGTGTCTGGTTCAACCGTCACGATTCTCGTGTTGCCGCCGCAGCCCATCCGCTTTGCATAAGTGACCACAGCCTGTGCCAGCGATCCGACGCCGACTGGAACGATCACGATGTCCGCGTGCTTGCCTCCCGTTGACGCGAGTACTTGCCTCTCAAGCTCTACCATCAAGGTCGTGTACCCCTCTACGATCCACTAGTATGGTATGGATAAGTGCACGACTCATTGCTCCCGATTCAGACTTGCCTTTGGGATCTCCTCGTAGCCTTTGAATGCTGTGTCCTCGACCAAGATTCCTCCCTCCACATCTTTGGAGGCTATGCTGGCCTCCTGCACTGCTGCATCGTAGTCTCCAGGCGTTTCGACTATTTCCGCGCCCTCTCCTGCGATAAGCACCTTGGTGGTACTGAGCATACCTCGAGGAACGAAGATCTTGCAGCCTATTCCCAGCAGCCTCGCCATCCTCGCCACGGCTCGACCATGGTTGCCCTGCGTCGCAGCAAACAACGCGATGCCCTTCCCTTTCACTTCTCTGGCGAGGTCCTCAATGTACGGACCGACGTCAAGTTTGAGGTACCGTTTTATCGCGCAGTAGGCCGCCCATGACGCGCCGAGGATCTTGAACGCAGGTAATCCCAATCGCGAGGATTCGTCCTTCAAGAATAGCCGCTTGACGTGCAGGTCGTGTGCAATGGACGGAAGCTCGATCAATGGAGTCGCGCCGTAACCCGGTAGACTTTGATGGAAAGCGAGCACGTCAGAACCTGGCAACAGGGAAGATGGCGTCGCGTATTCGAGAGCGCGACGGTTATGATAGATGCGAGCCATGATTCCAGCACGCTGTGAGTTGTGCCTCCTCTATCAAGCATCATGCCTCAAGATACATGGCCAGATGACGGGCCGACGGCCTAAAAGTTGGCTCGCCACTCGCCATTACAACTGAGGATGGGCGCCTAGCAGCACGTGCTCAGAATAAACCTCGTTTCGGGGTTGGCTATCGGCAACTTACCCCGTCGCTAAGTCCAAAAGGAGGTTAGCTTAATTGACATCACCGGCCGTGGCCTGACGCGTCCGGCGTGCGCCCACTCCTTTTACTCTCAACCCCCTTTCACTCTCAACCACCACCACCACCATGGTCCGCATTGACCCCAATCGCTACGGCAAGGAAGGCTCTGCAGAAGTCGGTCCAGCGAAAGTGGACGGCGAGACACGCATACGACGTAATGCGTTGACCAAGGACAAGCTCGTCACGCAGCCATGGGAAGGCATAGACACGGTTTACGATGTCCTCATGTATGCTGCCCGCACGCACGGCACTAAGGACGCCTACGGCACCAGAGACATCGTCGATGTGCACGAAGAGGAGAGGGAGGTCAAGAAAATCGTGGGCGGGAAAGAGATCACGGAAAAGAAAACGTGGAAGTATTTCGAGCTGAGCGACTACAAGTACATCAGCTTCCTTCAGGTCAAGGAGGCTGCACTCGAGATTGCAGGCGGCCTTCTTGAGCTGGGCGTCGCAAAAAAGGACGTGATAAACGTGTATGCGGCTACGAGGTGAGTTCCCCCCCTCACGGAGGCAGCAGTCTTGCTGACTTAGGCATGGTGATGCAGCGCCAATTGGCAACTCGTGTCCTATGGCTGCGCAACGATATCGACTCCGATTGCGACCGCTTACGAGACCCTCGGGGAGTTGGGACTTCAGCACGCGCTCAACGAACCGGAGTGCGTCGCCATCTACACGAATGCGGAGTTGCTGAAGACCGTCGCGAACGTTGCTCACAACGTCCCGAGTCTCCGCATTGTCATCTATGATGGCAACGTTGATGCTGCCGTTGTAGAGCAGATTCGCAGCGTCAGAGAAGGCATGCGGGTCCTCACGTTGGACGAATTGCGAGAGCTCGGCAAGGGTGTCGACGAAGAGAGATTAAAGGAACGACTCCCAACGCCATCCGACCTGTCGTGCATCATGTACACGAGTGGTACCACAGGAACCCCCAAGGGTGTGATGATTACACACGCAAACGCTATCGCCGCGTTGGGGTCCGTCTACACCTATTTGGGGCACCATCTCAAGCCGGACGATGGCTACCTGGCGTATCTGCCGCTATCACACGTACTCGAGTGGATCGTTGAAATGTGTCTCTTCTTCGTGGGGATGACATTCGGCTATGCTCGGGTCAAGACGCTCATGGATACCTCGGTGCGCAAATGTTTGGGGGACATTCGCGCGTTCAAGCCTTCCATCATGTGCGGTGTGCCTCAAGTGTGGGAGATGATCAGGAAGGGTATCATTGGTAAAGTCAACATGGGCGGCACGCTGAAGAAGAGAGTCTTTAACGGCGCTCTTGCCGCGAAGAGGGCGGGCGTGCCCGGGTTGAGTGAGCTTGCTGACAGTGTAGTGTTCAGTCAGGTGCGGAACGCAACAGGCGGCAGATTGCGCCTGGCGCTTTCGGGAGGCGCTGCGCTCAGCGTGGAAACGCAAGAGCTGCTCACGCTCGCGTTGGTGAAGATCCTGCCAGGCGAGTAACGAGGAGCTGTGCGACTTTGGTTTGGCTGAAGCTGATCTGTTTTAGGATACGGACTTACGGAGACGTGCGGAATGTGCACTGTTTTCCCGCCAGAGTTCACTCGGCTCGGCTCGGTCGGCCTTCCCATGCCATCGGTCGAGATCAAACTTGTTGATGTCGTGGACGTGAACTATCTTTCGACGAACGATCCTCCACAGGGTGAGGTTTGGGTCCGCGGGCCTTCGTTGACAAGAGGCTACTTCAAGCGGGATGACCTCAACAATGACGAGTCTATCTTCGCAAAGGATGGGTGGTTCAGGACAGGTGACGTGGGTCAGTGGAACTCAGATGGTACTCTCAGCTTGGTGGATCGGTTTGTGCCACTCCGCATCTGTTTTGTCTTGCTAGTAGCTGACATTCGGACGTCTCGGTCAGTATTAAGAATCTGATCAAGTTGCAAGGTGGAGAGGCAAGTTACCTTGTTCAACTTGTATACGAACCCTCCTGATAGTCACGTCTCTGCAGTACATTGCACTCGAGCGCCTCGAGTCCATTTACAAGTCGTGCAACCTCGTCTCGAACATCTGCGTGCACGCCAGCCCGGACGCAAAGCAGCCAATTGCTATCATCATTCCTCACGAGCAGCAGCTGCGGCATGCACTTCAGACGAAGAACATCGATTTCGCACCGCACACGGGTCTTCATGACATCTGCGCCGACGACCGGGTGAACGAACTCGTGCTCAAGGAATGCAATGCGGTCGGCAAGAAGAACGGCTTTAGGTCGATGGAGCTGCTCGAAGGCGTCATCCTAACTGCGGACGAGTGGACTCCGCAGAGCGGACTCGTGACGGCTGCGCAGAAGATACAGCGCCGGAAGGTCGCAGAGCATTTTGCCAAGGAGATCAAGGTATGGCTTGGTTTTGCGATATGTGTCCTGTTGGGCTGACAGACGGCATTCGCAGGAAATCTACCATCCCATATCAGCGTCGTAAAGTTCTTCATAGATACCCATGATTTTTTTTTCACTGGCGACTGATACCTTCTGCTGTCGTCGTTCGATAGTACCAACGACCGTCCTCATCTTTGTGTTTCTTGTAGGACCTCACTGTACTTATATCATAGTCCCATACATCCTGTAATACATGATGACACATCGCACAAGACAACCAAGCATATCGGTTGTGGAAGGCAGATCGGTCGCAAAAAACCATCACTAGCAGGTATCAAAGCAAGAGTAGAATCTGCGTGATCATTCCGCTGAATCATCCGTCTTCATCTTCTTCGCGCTCTGGATGGATTGGCCACTGACGCTGACATCGTCTCCGCCGTCAGGCCCTACCGCGCGTTTTCGCTTCTCGCCGACTTGCTCGCCATCAGCTGCGGTTGTGGCAGCGAGTGTTGTGCTCGCACCCTCCTCCGTCTTTTTCGCGCTCTGGATAGTGGGAATCGATTGGCCACGGACGCCGACATCGGGTCCGCCGTCAGGCTCTACCGCGCGTTTTCGCTTCTCGGCGACTTGCTCGCCATCAGCTGCAGCTGCGTCTCCAGCCTGTTTTTTATTGCTTCCACCACGTCCGCCGCGTCCGCCGCCACGGTCACCCCGCCCTCGTTTGCCGCCCCGTCCTCCGCGCCCTCCGCGCCCTCCACGTCCTCCACCAACTTTGTTTTGTAAGACTGCAACTGCTCGCTTGGCAGACGACCGCGCGCGCTCGAGCTGGAACGCTCTTTCTGTCTCCTCTAGGAAGAATGGAAGCAGATAAGCATCTACCGGGTGCGAATAACTCAAGAAAACCTACCGTCAGGGACACTCCACGTCACCTCCACCGTGCTGAGCGTCTTGAGATTTTCTTTGACATAGTTGATGTCGTCATCGGTCAGGGTCCTGTCAAAGCCGACCAGTCCAGAGGACTCTCCCGTGGTGTACTTGACGAACACCAGATGGCCCATTCGCTCCTTCACGGTGCCCTGTCACGGACGGAGTGTTGGCGAAGACCCTGCATGGCACGCGTCGAACAAGACGTACCTTTATCTCCTCGAAGCTGACGTTATTTCCGCAGCCCTCAAACTTTAGTGTCGCGCCCTTCACGAATGGCACCTCCTCCTCCTTGACCGAGATCCCGGCCTTATCTTCGTATGCGCGGATTTTGTTGCCCATGAAGTCCAGGAAGATATCGGGCTTGGGCTCCTTCTCCTTCTCCTTCTCTTTGCCCTTTTGTTCCTTTGCCATCTCCATCTCGCGGAATGCATTGAAACCCTTGCGTCCCGGACCAACAATCTTCGCCTTGCGAATGCCAGAGAGACCCTTTTCTTTGATCTTCATCTCGCAATATGCCTCTCTGGGGGGGAATAAATGGTGAAAACAGAGGGTTGCGAATTATGTCTCAATAACGTACTTTGTCATAATCAGCAGCTCCTTGTCATCCCAGGATGGTTTGGGATCGGCATTCAGGAAGTCCTCCACCGATTTGTGGTCGGTAAACTCAACAAACACGGAGCCCTACAGACGTATAAGAGCTTGCAGCGCATACTCCTGAACCAAGCACGTACCTTGAAGTCTTTCGTAGCATGGTTCCTCCGCATACGCACGGCGTTCGTCTGCCCGTACTTGTTGAAGAACTGCTCTAGCTTCTTCTGCATATCCTCCACCTCTACTCCGAATCCTTTCTGTCAATCGGTCAGAATACTGAACTGCACGTTAAGAGTGTTCATTTACCGCGTATATGCTGCGCTCCGATCCTCCCTTCGGCTTCTGGAGCTCCGTGCGCCGGCGAACCTGTGCGCCATCCTCGTTCACCTCAAGCTCCTCGCTCGCTCGCAGAGCATTCGCGACCCACTCAAGTCCATACGGCTGGTAGTCGCGCATGCGCTTGAACGATGCAATTGTTTGGACGGGCACCCAATGTTCGGGATTAGCCGTGTGAAGGGACCACATGAACCTGCAAGCGATGTCAGCGAACATGCGTTTTGTTGTCCAAAACTAACGCAAACTCACTTATCGTAAGGGAGGTTGGCATCCGCAAAGTAAAACTCGACTAGCGACGCGTTTAGGCCCCAGGGAACAACGAGCAGTCGCAATTCAATCCACGTACCTTGGCGCATCGCATTGAACTTTTTTTCGTCATCTCCCTGCTCAACTTCCATGTTCTGCTCTCCCTCTACCTTTTCATCAAGGTTTTCAGCTTGAGGAGCGTCCTTGATCTCCAACGCATCCGGCTGCACTGCTGGGGTCTCCTCAGATGGCGCGGAGGCGCTCTCAACGTCCTCCATCGTCACATCATCTTCAACAATCGCAGTAGCGTCCGCACTTGAGCCCGCCATACCTTGAACGGTGAAAAGGACTGTGCGTGCAGTAGGCTGCTGGGAGAGCGGAGAGAGGGAGGGAAAGCGGAGTCGAGACGAAACGAACACTGAACGGTGAGAAAAGCCAGATGAGATCTTGAGTAATTCGGCAATCTCCGTGATAGATCACGCGACGCGCTTGTGGCTGCAATCGACGCGCCTGTGGCAAAGCTCGCAACCCAAACATTATTTATACAATTTGAGTGAATCGTTGAACTCGAAGCGGCGCACAGCTCGAGTACAGATATCACATAATGCTTCTGGTTTTATTTTCTCTGTCCGCCTCCGTCTCCGCCTTCTTTGCAATGCGAACGTTTGAGCCTCTCGAGCTTCAAAGTTCAAGTTACTGTTTCGCTGCAACATCAGATCCTGCGACGGCTGAGAGCGGTCAACCTCTCTTATAGGTCGATGCTGTCGGGTTCATGGCGCGACGGAGTCGCAGACTATTGTTTAGCGTCTGGAATCAATGACCTCATTCTTCAACAAATAATCATCGATTATCGTCCGTGACATTGATCCGCTAAGGCTTACCTTTGAAGAATCGTAGATAACATACTACCATATTCCTGATATCATATAGCGTCTCGTAGAAGCATAAGATACATGATAGCCCTTGAATCAAAACAAGCAAATCAGATCGAACAGCCGAGTCATAAGCGCGTCGAATATCGAGCCGAGGCGTGTATGATATCCCTGAATGCGATATACACGGCCCTCTCGTTTTGTAAAGCAGTCGCCTAGTTTGTTTTGCATAAGGCTTTCCCATCATGCGTAGTTTATATGCTTTTAATGCCTGTTCAAAAGCACGAATGTCGCGAACGTTTCTCAATGGCCAACTTGCGGCTCTTCACCCACTCGACCGGGAGAATTTATTCTGTCGGTCGGCGCAGCAGGGTCGCTGACACCACCAGATACGCCATTGTCCTGGTCGGTTTCATTGGAGAGAACGATGACGGTCTGCGAGGAAGCTTCCGAATGCTTGGCACGGCTGGCGCGCAGGGAGTCAGCTTGAGTTCACTTGTCACAATCAATGCAGTACGCACGGTGAAGATAGTCTCTTTGAAGACCCACCCCCTGAGCTGTCCAGTGTATTCATCGGGATGTTCTCCATATACAGACTGGTCGAGAGATACGACCTGCCATTGTAACGCAGGTAATGACGCGCATTCAGTCTGCCGTCCGGGCATCAGCAAAAAGGTCGGACACCGATCTGGGCCGATAAGGCAGACTTATGTAGGTAATGTATCCCGAAATCTTGTAATGTCAGGCAATGTCAGATAATGTCAGACAACACCCCATGGCATGCGGTGTCCCCAGACCTACTGATGTCTGGCCAGGAGCCATTATCTGTACATATCTAGTATTGCCTTACTGATATCTATTAGATATGTGCAGTCTCTAGCAGATCATATGAGGAACCATTTGTACAAATATATGCCTTTATATAAATTGATATGCAGGTGTACAGACATTGCAATGTTACAGATAGTAAATACAGCCTCAGAGTATGAGAAGAGGTGACATTATTGCTTTGAAACCTGTTCTCAGCACCTACTGACATTCTGATTGATATCTTCATGTCAATACCGCAGTCGTCATTGGGATTCCATTGTCTCCAGCTATGTCGTCGCCACTTCTGCAGAGTCACCATCACGTGCACAACACATTGGGAAGCCAGCTTACCGTAGATGGTAAGCGGGCGACGCGTACGTCACTGCTGGACTTCAGTTCAAGCTCCGACGCACGTCCTTTATGAGCGAGTCACTTAGGTCGCTCGCCGTCGGCGTCCTTGCCCTTCCTCTCACTGTCAACGACACTAATACAAGCTTGCCGCTTTGGTACTCAGTACTCGTCCGGTTGTCAGATGCTGCTCAGCGGTCCTATCTGTGTGGTCAGCTGTGCCAGCCCCTAGCTGGTCTGGATGAGAACCTGCTCCGCGTACGACCTCCGTTGCCAGTCTATGTCAAACCCCTTGATGGCACCGTCATATTCTAAAGCTTCTTTATCACTTGCGGCACATTTACGCGCATGACGTCGACTCTAGCGTAGGGTACGATCGCTGCAACGCGCGTTGACTAATCTTGGGTGTCTCGGAATCAACGCGTAACGAGTTTGCAATCATCTTGACCGTAAGCTTTCGCTTCACGTCTGTGCACAATTGCATACTAGACAAGTCCACGCTATGGAATTACATGGTGAGTCTCATCCACTACCATCCCGAAATTGGTTCATAGACTGACTATATGCGCTGTATATTGATACTCTACAGAGCGCCGCGTTTTGATTGAGAATTTGGTGAGTATCTACTTCTTGAGGCTTCATGACGACTGTGAGACAACGTTTCGAGATGCAGGGCTGCATCACTGCCATTTCCCCAGGTCTTACTGTGAGTTGTCAGGAGAGAGCCAAGAATCGACTAGCACTGACTGCGAAACTCGCGACGTTGCAAGTCCACTTGGGCCAGACCTCATAAAAGGATGATGCTTACAATTCATAAGGAGGGAAGCAGAGGCAGTTCACCTCACAGCGAAGGTGCGCATGTACTTTCAGAATCTGCACGCATACGCTGATCGTATCCACCTTGGAGACTCTCCGCTGCCATCAGATCGCACGTCCACCGGCTCGTGTCACAGATTTTCACGTCTTCACCTCTGCACGTGACCAAGACATCACTTGACATCAGCGCTAGGCTGTTCAGAAAGGAACGAACCGGTACGCGAAGTACTAACAGTCCTAGACGCCCCGAAGGTCCAGGTCTAGTCACGTGACATATCACGTGATATCCACACATGTGACAAGTAGCGCTGGTATTAGGTAAGCCTAACTTATACAGTAATATCATCCCACCTAGAAGCAACGGTCGGACTCCGGAAGAATCCAACGAAGGGGATACACGCCACCGGAGATATGTCCTTAAGGGGATATTAGTTCACATGCACGAGGTAGATAGCTACCACACCACCGGAGATGTAGCCATTACAGGCAATACCATTCCCATGGTCTTACTAAGTAGTTCGGAGATTCGGCATACATGACACACGTAGTCTGACAGGTAGTGGTAACCAATCAGACAATGTCCATTAGCTAGCGGTTCTGGGGTATCAGGGTACCAAGGGTCCCTCCGCTCATGTATATAAGCCAGAGCTCTGAG